AGAATTTCAGTACCCGACAGTTTACATACTCTGTAACATTCTGTAGAGAGACTTTAGGCATGAAAATAAGGCATAAGACCCATGTGGTTTTCTATGGACAGGCCCCCTGGTAGCACTAGACGAACACGTCTATCGGCTGATGTTTTTCCCGGGTACTACCCAGAGCACGCTTTAACATTACTATTTAAAGTAAAACGAGGGGCTCCCCACAGGGCTGCTATGTTACTATGGGAACTAAAGGAATTTAAGGGCTCCCCACAGGATTATTACACGAGTTACCGGAAGGGTGAACCCAGGGGATTTATTTACAATATAATGAAGAATTTCAGTTTGTTACACAAATATACATGCTACAAATAAATTTAACTTGTTTTATTCCAGAAAAATGTTATGCTCAAATAATTACAAAGTTACATCATTCAAAGCCCAAAACATTTCAGTTGGAAGTCATTTTGTTATTATGCATTAATTCTCTCATTAAAACAGTTGTCATATAGGTAATAGGCAAAAAGGAGAGCCGTCAACTCAAATAATAACATACTTTATGCATAATATTTATGTTTAGCCTTTACGCATTATACACTTTAATTGTTGTTTCATAGGGATGCAAGTTTTGTTATTGTATGCAAGTGCTCTCTAAAATACGTGTACATAAGGTTATAAATTATAAACAGTACTACAGTTAACTCACAAAAATATACATTGTACTTGTTATACATAAATAATGAGTTATATAATACGTTCGATTGTTATTAATCCATACATTTCTGTAAATATCTTCTCTTGTATAATTTTCAAGTTGATGTTCAGGAAGTTTCTACTTTCACACAGATTTTATGTAAGACTATTAATACAGTAAATTGTACGGACTTTTTTAACGCAAATAATTAAGGTATCACAGATGTATTTTTTATTTATCTAAATTCGATTTATTAGGAAATCAGTTGGTCACTCATTTCTGACAATAAAGTCATACTGTATACAGGGTTATTTTCGCCCTTTTGAAAGTGCTACAAATTTTGCCCCGTTTTAAATTCGCCCAATCGCAGTACCATTGAAGAAATGAGGCTGTGTACTTTGAATTCGCCCACTTAAGACAATTAAGGGTGAAAGGAAAAGAAAACGGGGGCGAAATTTTCTCTGTATACAGTATATCACATGGTCAGTGTTCAGCAAGAAGTCAGAGGTTTTAGGAAGGAAAACTGACACAATCGAGGATTATTCCACTGCAATCTGCAAGAAATTTGGAATTAAAAACATGAAAGCTAGAAAAGATATCAATAATGTGCTAATGTGCTCTATGACGTTTTAATTTCTGGTCCAAATGCAACACAGTTTGCACCAAAATTGTGAAAATGGCGATTGCTGATAATAGGGTGCATTGATTGACCGCTTAATAACTTGACCTTAAGCGGGAAACAACGCAACGTTGCCTTTGTGACGTAACTGACGTCATAATCAAATATGCACAAAATAGCCGCTCGAATCGTCGAAATTGTGTACCAAAATTGATGACAAAAGCAAACCCGCGACCTACCTTAAATTCACATTCAGTGTTTTACGTTGCAGATTAATCGTACACACACACACACACACACACACACACACACACACACCCTCACACACACACACACACATATATATATATATATATATCTCAGAAATTTGCATGGTTCTTGAAATTTACACTTTTCTGGCTTTGTAGTTCTTTTTATTCAAAATATATACCTGTACGTTCACTAATATGGTCAGGATGTCACTTCCTACAGTTTTCAGAAATACCAGTACTGTTCATAAAATAGAGGCACAAGGACCACAAAGATCACCTGAGTAACTTCGGTCCAGCTTCACCATATCCCTCCCTTGTCATACTTATTGTGACCCAACCATACCCCGGGTGTCATGATCTAAATAATTTAGAATCTTAAACTACCCCTGGATGCTTTGATAAAAAAAATTCAGCAATTCTAATCCAGTGGTTCTTCAGAGGAAGTTTAAAAGAAATGTTCTATATATTTCATTGTAAAAGATTTGTTATTGTTGCCTTTACATAAGTTTTATCGGGAGGCCCGGGTTCGATTCTCGTTCGCGGCGCCGCGTCAAACCTAAGACGTAAACATAGGTAGTGACTGTTTCTATGACAAGCGCTTGGCATTAGAGTGAAAGTCACGGGTCTTTCAGATGTGACCTTAAAAACGTCGGCCCCCTGTCACGGTAGAGGTTGGCACGATAAAGAACCCTCAATACTCAATGGCCCTGAGTGCCGAGTATAGGTTTAAATTTGAAGCCCTTCACCGGCTTACGCCGACTCTCTATATGAGTGAAAAATTCTCATAAGGGAATCAATCAATCAATCCACATAAGTTTTGCTTTCTCTGGCCCCAAGGTTCTAGGGAAGATTTTTCGTGTATATTTCAATGTAAAAATTCATTATAATTTAATAACTATGTATAAATTGATAATCTACTCTTCAAACATTTTTTCCCATGTTTACAGGTACTTGTAATTGTACCTTGACCTATGGAGAGAACGATCATAGGCATTTATGCCTGCTGTTCAATCCAATTCAATGAATAAAATATATTCTAAACTAATGTAAAACTTGGATTCCGTGTTGTGGCCCTACCCTACCCCCGGAGACCATGATTTGAACAATTCAGAATTTACACTACCTTATGATGATTCCACACATGTTTCAACTTTTCTGTCCAAATGATTCTAAAGAAGACGATTTTTTATAACCCTACTCTATTTTTTTTCTTTTCTTATTAGCTTCCTATGCAAAGAGCCGGTGTAATAGATGGTCAGAAAAGCTCACTTAAGCTTTCAGCTCGGGTGAGCTGAACACAATTTGTTGTGTTATTTATATTAATATATTATAGAAGTTCTTAAAATCTTAATGTCCTATAAAACTTGGCCATGGCATCTTTTTAAAACATCCTGTGTTTCATATGTATGTTTTTCCTAAAGTTATGATATTTAACTTGATTAGCAAGCCTCAAGTAAATGAATTTTGTTTTAATGGTTAAAATAAAATGTAAATTGTAACAAATTACTGCTATGTTTTTTATGGTTGAAAGTAATGAGAGGTGGTTTAATTTTGCAACAGTTGTGCTTATTGAAAAAGCTAGTTTAAGTTCATTTATTTAACTCGCACCAACAGCAGTGGTACATGAGGTACAGTATATAAAAGTCGTCATATTATTCGTACTTAGGATTTTACTTTTGATCATTTATGGGATATCACCACTGTTTTAAGTTCATAAATATGGTCTGGATGTTATCCACTAGATAAAGTAATACAAATATTGTTCATACCAAAAAAGATTTGTTGTTCCTTAAAACCAACACGACTGTTACTGTAATTATAAATCATAATATTTTCTAAATAAGGCCATCTTTTAAAAAAATTGTTTAGCTGCCCCCTCCCGATCGACTGGCTAAAATGGCAGGAAGCAAATTATTTTTTTGAGTAATGTGGACAGCAGATTGAAAGAAAAATATAGCTTTACATTGACATTTTCTGAAGAAGAAAAAATTCTCACCTACCTACCGATCCTTTTCACCCTGAGTCAGGAAAGGGCAAACTGTATTATTCTTAAGTTGAACTAACTTGACTTCTTTGAAAAACATATGCGCTCCAAATAAAAGCGCAATAAAAGTTGGATGGTGGTCAAATTTGATCATACAATACTCTTCTCTTAAAGATTGCAAAATAGAACACATCTCTGTGTCTCTGTTTCTAACCACCCCTACTGCGGTTTTGGAATCTTCGACTTTTTTTATTGCTAAGGTGGGCCTACGTCCGGTATAAGAAGCAATGCACTTCTTTCTTCAGATTCATCTATTCAATATGAACCCCAAAACAGTAACTGTAGTTTTCTTGTGTGTTATAGTTTGTGTATGCGGGCTTTCTACAACTGATAAGACAAAACAGAATGATGACATAGCCGACATTAAAAATAGACTAGGACATCTTGAACAGTTGATTGGACAACTAGTCACCGGGAATTCATCTTCGGATGTTCTAAAATTTAGTGGTAAGATTTTAATGAAATATTTTTGTTGTTCTTTTTTGGGTAACAGCATTTCCTAAATGTCATACAATTTTGCTTTAATTTAGTTTGCTAACATTTGAAAAGAGTACATATTTTAAGTGACAATAAATGTTTGGATAATTTCATAGCGATATACCTAGACTACTAAAATTTAGTAGTATGTTACATTTGCATTTTAAACATTTTAGTATCTATATTTCTTCTTTTCCATGATCTTCCATGATCTTATATTATAAACATAAAAATTCAATTGATCGCATTTTTCCAGAGCTTAAATTTATTTTAACAGTTGTAGTTCTCATCTTATATAAAATATAACTGTTAAAATAAATTTAAGCTCTAGAAAAAATGCGATCAATAATTTTTTTTGTAAATATGAAGATCATGAAAAAAAAAAGAAATATAGACACAAAAATAATTTAAATGTAATTGTAACATATTACTAATTTTTCTAGTAGTATGAATTTTTCCTTCAAGATAAAGGCCGGTATATCGCTATAAAATTATTCAAACAGTTAGTAATAAATACCACAAAATTCACAAAACTTTCATATAAATGAATAATGAAATTATTCTTTTGGGGGGGAGTGTGGAGGAGGAGCTTTTTACTTTCACTGATGCCTTTGCAAATGCCCCCAAATAGTGGCAAGTACCTCACTTTTAAAAATGTAGATACCTAAAAAAAAAAACTTCAGAATTTAAGAAAAAGTTTCGAAATTACTTCAAATGTAAGAGTAGAGAATGATTTTAGGTTTTTTTTTTTTTTTGTGAAGTTTTTGTCCATAAGATTGATATGCTTGAAAATGGGAAGCAAATGCAGGTCTGTAATTTTCAGAATAAAAACAAATGTTTTAATTTAAAAGAATGATGTTGCGTAGTGATTAAGTTAAAACAAATTAAATAGATAACCATAATAAGTATAATATTGTAATTCTTGTGCAGCGTCCATAGGAAGAGACGAACACGTATCCTTTTCTGCCTACAAAAACCAAACCCAGTCTAATCTGAACCAGAGACACATCATCAAGTTTGAGCAGACGATACTGAACCTTGGAAATCACTATCATCCAGAGGACGGGATATTTATCGCCCCGGTGTCAGGTGTATACCTCTTCCACTGGACCATTACCAATTATAAAAGTTATGCACATACCAACATTTTGGTGGGAGGAAAGGTAATGTCTACAACTACCACCTCAGTAGTATCTAGTAGTTATAATTCAGGATCAGCTTTGGTAATTGTTCACGTACAGAAGGGACAGCATGTTTGGATACAGACTTGCTGTGGTACTGGGCATGAAGTGTATGGAAACACCCTGGCACTTGACAACCGTTTCCAGTCTACATTTTCGGGGACTTTACTCTATTCAGTTTCTTAGAATTAAAGATATGTGTGTGGAAAAAAGACTGCTTGTCAGACACCTTTTTACATACCAGTCTAAAAACTGAGTGATAGAAATAATCATTATATCATGTGAAATATACTAAAGGAAAAAGAAACGCAGGGTAGCATAATATTGGAAAATTTTTTGACCGCATGACCGAAAATAACGAAAATTGACCAGATGAGAAATTTGGTTACTATGCACCAAAATCAGTGTTCAGAATTACTCAACCGTAAAATGTATGACGTCATGTAGGGAAAACGCTAAAAATCCCAAAACACTTGCAATTTGATGATGACGAATTTGTCAACAAATCTTGTTGCACCATTTGAAGCACCTGAGGTATACACATTAATTTTCAATATTTAGAGACGATATTAATTTCTGGTTTTCGAATTGCCTAATTTATGAAAAAGGCAGCAACGGGTAACTAGGCAGTTTCTTGTAAATACCCCCCATAAAATTTGTTACCCGTTGTCAGAGAGGGTCTGGAATGGTTTTCAATCAACCGTGTCCATGACGTTAACGCGAAACAGAGTCATGTTACGAGCGTATTATTCGTCCTGCCTTCTTTTAAATCGCAACCCTACTACCACAAAAACCGCCTTTTACACAGTACACTATTATAATCATTACATTCACACGAAAAATGAAAGAAAACAATTCCGCGATTTGGTTTTTTGCGCCAGTCAACTTACTGTTGTGTTCCTCTCACTGGCGCATGCGCGCGTCGTATGACTAATTTTTTGGCGTGGTTACCCATGCCCAATATAGCCGGGGTTTGAAAGATACTAACGCTGATGAATTCCATGCATAGGGGAAATAACGTTCATGACAGATGTGCAGGAGAGACATTGAAGACAAGAAGAGTTTTCGATTTTCTCTTTTGGGGGGTATCGTCATATGAGCTTCAATAACTCATGAATTATCAGACAAAATGAAATGGGATTTAGGTTATATCTTTTTGAAAGATGAATTTAAAAGTTAGATAGGAATACTGAAGAAAAATTGAAAGAAAAATAAATTTGATTCACCTCAAAAGTTTACCCTGCGTTTCTTTTTCCTTTCAGTATATAATTATTGAATGTTCGTACAGTCAGATTTCATTTTCAAACTCTAATTTACAGTGTAGTTAGAAATACACAATATTGTCTGCAGAAAAATAAATCATGTGTACTAGATATTAGTGATGGTGAAGAACATCTTATGTAACTAAAATAAAAAAAAATCATGCAGATATTAAAAAAGCCTAAACATATGAAATAGAAATGCTGTACAAGACCGTATACACTTTAAAAGAACGGAAATATAAGTAGTAAAAAGATTAATTCAAATAGTAAATATTATTATTAAAGAAAATGATGCACAGTTTCTTATTGCCATTAATTTTCTCATTGCCGTTGGATGGAAAAAGGAATTTGGAAACTGTGCATTTTCTTTTATATTTAAGTAAAAAGGCAACACTTCTTGTTACAGCGTAAACGCTTCCATGGGTCTCTTCAGCTGTTTATCCCTTTAATCTCAACGAGAAATAGTAAGCACCTGAGAAAACATGAAAGCATGAACGTCTTAAGTGAATTTGACAGAGAAAACCTTAATAATCCTTAAAAACAACTTATGATATGTAAAACAATGATCTTTGGCTATACATTTGAACAGATCAGTGCTAGGGCTTCTTCTCAGTTCACATTTCTCTTCTTGTAACAAGTCCAGAGTACCGACAACTGAAACTGTTTGACCGTAGTCCTTGGTGTTTGATTTACAATTGAAAAAGTTTGCTCATGTTACACTTTTTAACAGTTACTAGTATTTACTAGAGCATTTATATGACATGTATTCTTTCTGGCAAGAATTGTCCTATATTAGGGTGCTCATTTGTCCGTATTGATCATTCAAAAGTTTTAGAGATTGGAATAAGATTTCATTTTTGCAGATTAATTGTACACACATGTATATCAGAAATGTGTATAGTCAATCTAGTAAAAAATAGATGTTCCGAATCCAGAACATCTAAGTTTCATTAGATTGGTGAATGGTTAGGGAACATATCACTTTCTGAATTTAGTCGTTTTAATGCGAAATATATACACATGTATGTCCATTAAGCTGGTCGGTCGTTATGTTACACTGTACCTCATACAGTTTACCAGAATAGAACGCATTCACATGTAAACAAAACAAAAAAAAAGGTTTGTTCCATAAGAACAATACAAATGCTTTTAGTTTTCAAAATCATAATGTTTTACATAATGGCGTCTTTGCATAAAACTTGAGCTCATGATATATGTAAGTAACAGCGCCACAAAAGTTGGAAGGAAGTCTGGGTTTCTTCATATCGTATACCTTTTTTTTAATTGCAAAAAAGAAAACAGAGTCTCTGTTTCTTACAAACCCTGCGTTTTTTTTTTATTTCTAGCTCACCTGAGCCAAATGCTCAAATGAACTTTTCTGATCAAAATTTGTCCCTTGTCTGTCGTTGTTGTCGTAAACTTTTCACATGTTCATCTTTTTCTCAAGAACCACTGGGCCGATTTCAATCAAACTTGCCACAAAGTGTCCTTGGGTGAAGGAAATTCAAGTTTTTCAAATGAAGGGCCACGCCCTCTTCCAAGGAGAGAATTATGAATTAGCGAAAAATTAATGGCATCTTTTAAAAATCTTCTTCACAAGAACCACTGGGTCAGGAAAGATAAAACTCATGTGGAAGCATACTCAGGTAGTATAGATTGAAGTTTTTTCAAATCATAACCCCGGGGGTAGGGTTGGGCCACAATGGCATGTTCAAAGTTTTACATATGAATATATAGGAATTTTTTTTAAAAATCTTCTTCTCAAGAACAGCCAAGACATGATTGGTGATATATATACTGGTATATATTTTAATAATATTTGTATAAGCATCCCCAGGTGGTGTAGATTCAAGTTTGTTCAAAACGTGACCCCCGGGGCGTAGGGTGAGGCCACATTGGACGATGAAAGTTTAACATAGGAATATACAGGTAAAATCTTAAACATCTTCTCAAGAACAGTGGCGCCATTGTTGGTCATATTTATATGGATGCATCTGAAGGTGGTGTAGATTCAAGTTTGTACAAATCATGATATGGGATGGGATGGGACCACGACAGACGGTCAAAGTTTTGCTTAGGAATATATAAGAAAAATCTTGAAAAATTTTCTTCTCAAGAACATCAAAGCCACTATTGGTCATATTTATATGGAAGCATCCTCAGGTGGTGTAGATTCAAGTTTGTTCAAACATGTGACTCACGGGGATGGGATAGGGCCACAATGGACGATCAAAGTTTAACATATGAAATATAGGAAAAGTCTTCTAAAATCTTTTTCTCGAGAACATCAAAGTCATGGGTGGTCATATTTATGTGGAAGCATCCTCAGGTGGTGTATAGATTCAAGTTTGTTCAAGTTCATGACCCCCTGGGTGGGGTGGAGCCAGAATGGATGGTCAAAGTTTAGCATAGGAATATATAGGGAAAATCTTCTCAAGAACAGCAAAGCCATGGTTTGTCATTATTTGAAAGCATCCTCAGATAGTGTAGATTCAGTTTTGTTCAAATCGTACCCCCTCCTCTTTACCCCTTCTTTCTTTTAGGGTAGGTCGAGACCACTCATGCATTTAAGCTTTTTAATACTAAACTGATTTTTGCTTTTTTCCTAGCCACAGTACTCAGGTGAGCGATGTGGCCCCTGGGCCTCTTGTTATTGCTAAGGAGGGCCTACGTCTGGTATAAAAAGCAAAGCATTTCTTTCTTCGGATTCATCTGTTCAATATGAACCCCACCACAGCATCATTAGTTTTCTTGTGTGTAATAATGTGTTTAAGCGGCCTTTCTACAACTGATAAGACAAAACAGAATGATGATGTAGCCGACATTAAAAACAGACTAGGACATCTTGAACAGTTGATTGGACAACTAGTCACCGGGAATTCATCTTCGGATGTTCTAAAATTTGGTGGTAAGATTTTAACGAAATATTCTTGTTCTTTTTGGGGGTGGGGTGGGGTTCACAGCATTTCCAATAAGTCATTCAATCTTACTTAATACTAGTACTAGTATTAAAAGTCTAGTACTGAAAATAATTACATGTAGCTTAAATTTAGTATTGTGTTATCTTTCCAATTTTCTAATTGATCGAATTTTTCAGATTTAGTTGTAGCATTTGATCTTTTGTATATTTTTGGAAGTAATATTATTATTTTTACAAAACTTTTATATAAAATTTTAGAGAACGAAAAAAAAAAGATACTAACGAGACTGTTTCTTTTCTATTCCGCAAGCAATGGCAAACACCTTACTTTTTGTAATTTTTATAGGTACATGTATACATACTTGATGTTTAAAACTTTGGAAGTTAACAAAGAAATACGTTCGAAATCACAAAATATGCTAGAGTAGAATAATGGTTTTAAACTTATTTTGTTGCCCAAGTTTATATCCTAGGGATTGGTATACTTGAATGTAGGGATCAAATGCAGATAAGTCTGTGCGACTTTCAGATCAAAGAATATTTCAATTTATTAAAGATGTTTCATGGTGATTAAGTTAAAACGAATTTGCAAATAGGTAACTCAGTAACTGTAAATTTAGTAATATTTTTATTCTTGTGCGGCTTTCACAGGACGAAACGAACAAGTTTCCTTTTCTGCTTACAAGAACCAAACTTAGGGTGGACTAAATAAGAGACACATTATCAAGTCTGAGAAGACGATACTGAACCTGGGAAATCACTACCACCCAGAGGACGGGATATTCATCGCCCCGTTGTCAGGTGTATACCTCTTCCACTGGACCATTACCAATTATGGAGATTATGCATATACAAACATTTTGGTGGGAGGAAAGGTTATGTCTACAACTACCACCTCAGTAGTATCTGGACATTATAATTCCGGATCCGCTTTGGTAATTGTTCACGTACAGAAGGGACAGCATGTTTGGATTCAGACCTGCTGTGGTACTGCAAATGAAGTAATAGGAAATACCCTGGGGCTCGACAACAGTTTCCAGTCTACTTTTTCCGGGACATTACTCTTTCAAATTTCATAAAATTAAAGTCTGTTTAAAAAAAAAAGTGATATACGTAATTTAATACCATTTTAGAAACTGCCGATAGAAGTAATCAAATATGTAAAAATATAATTGTGGAGTACTGTTCGATCCATCATGTTTTCATTTTTTCTCTCCAAATCTATCATAGCAAGTTTAGCAGAAAAGATGGAGTCAACTTAAAAAAAGCATAGTGTACAACAAATCAAAAAGAACCTGTTATGTCACAAGAAATGACAAATTTCATGCAGATATTATGCCTAAGTATATGAAATGAAAATGCTTTTCAAAACAGTACCATCAGAATTGGCAAAATGAATTGATTGTTCATTGTCACTTTGTGTGATTTAGGCCTGGAATTCACCTTGTACCCTAAATTGGAAAAATCAAACTAGGCTTGAATAGGCGATGAAAAGAAAGTAGTCTCCAAATGATGTACGACGGTTGATCCAAAAGCAATGTCAAAGTGTCCATCTCTTTTATATTTGGCTTCATGTTATCAAATACAATACCGTGGTATACCAAAATATGTATAAATAACAAGGAAATTTTGGTTTAATAATTTTAAATTAAATTCATTTTATAGAAGTTTCAAACATAAAGCACAAGGGGTGTCACCGCGTCACAACTGAATGTCCCGTTTAAAAAGACCTAAATTAAGTACTCAAATCCTCAGCAAGGAAGGATAACTCTTAAATTTATAATCTTATTCAAAAAGTTTTAAAATGAAGCTTAAAAATTAAATCTTTTCACGCAACATTTTTCATTTTATACCTCTCAATCTGCTTGAAGGTTTTCTGAAGTTCTCAGAAAGGTCTTATAAAAAGTAGAAACTTTTACCCCATAAAAGTATTTTAAAATTACATTTTTAGAGAAATTGACGTTCATTTTAATCTGACCATAGATACCAATGTTTATTTACATGATATAAAAATAGAAATGATTAATGATGTTTTGCAAAGATATGAAAATCTGTATACATTATGCATTGTAAAATGCCCAACGTTGATAGAAGAAATTAAAGCACATTATATGTATAAAAATTGTGTAATTTCTTCAAAAGCCTGGATACCCATGATTTTTATCTCTAAAATGTGTTTTTTGATGAAATTTGAATTGTAAAATGCAAAGTAGGTGTTTTTATTCGTATTTCCAAAAAAATTACTATTATTTGAGATTTACTAATTTTCCCTATATAATATGATTTACTTTGAAGATGGAGTTTGAAGAATTATCGTGGGCATAAACACTTAACTTTGAGAATTTAGAGACATTTTGTGAGCATTTTCAGTTAGTCAATGCCTGAGTTTCAGAACCTGTGGATTGGAGTAAATATTGCCAATAATTTTTAAAGACAAAATTTACGTCATTTTTTTGTCTAATCAGTGGAAAACTTAATGACGTTCTTGCTATATTTTTTTAGTTATGAAATTCGTGTTTTACTCAGATGCATTGAACAAAGGAAGTATCAAAATAGGGAAAAAACGCCACAACACAACGAGCTGTATTGCATATTTACTTCAAAATGGGGAAATTACTGGTAGAGACAGTTACATTGATTAATAAGACTCACGGCGAATGTAAATAAGAATATTGTGATTTTGGGGAGGGTGATGGTTCATTGAATGAATAATATCGGGCAGGAAGACCGAAAGATTGGAGGTCGGACAGATACGTTTAACTGGAATGTCAAAAGACATGCGTGTATCTGTTATGCACAGGATACAAGAACATATCTTGTTACACTGTTCAAAGAATTTTGTGAACGTGTTCGTGAATCTTAAATATTTTAAGAAACGTTTGAAAGTACATGTATGCTGGTGCCGTTATTCAGATGCGGCGGATTCCAAAATCGTCCTTTGTACAGACTGTTGTATAAAATACGATATTTTTTAAAGTATAAATCATATTGGATTGAAATTTTTAGGTCCGAATTGATATAAATATAGCTTCAGTCATTTATAATTTTGTTGTTTTATGTCGACTAGTAGCAATTTTACAGAAGTTGTGACAATACTTTTGGATTAACCCTCGTATCAATTTCATTCTTTGCGAAAAAAAGGAGTACTAAACCTTATTATTGATTTAACGAATAACTGTCTTATTTTTCGATTTCATGAAGTGATCAATCGATTGGCTTGCGTGATCATTTGCATAAACATCGAAGGCGTTTATGCATAAAATTATCACGCAAGCCAATCGATTGACCATCTTCATGAAATTGAGAAATCTGACAGTTATTCCTTATATTTACATGCTTTGATTCCGCCAATCCACGTGCTCCAAGCCCTGCTTCTGTCTAGCAGTTTGTTCCGCCCTGCACGTGGTTTTTTTGGAACCGCGCCAATACATTGATGGGGAAATAAAGTACATTTACATTTGGTAATTTTATCTCGGACAAAGACATTGGAAATGTAAATATAAGGTTTTTGTAGACCTCTACATTAAGTAATATTTGTAATTTTTTTTTGCAGCATCCATGTGTCTTTATAAACTAAATAATTAACAATAAATTTGTGTAATAATGTATTTATTAATCTATTTATGATCAATTATGTTTTTATTCATATGAGTGACATATGCATGACTTATCGATAAAACACCTTTTATTTAAAAATATACAATCTTATAATGTACAACAACTGAAAAATTCATGGACGGAATTCGATGTCCTAGACATTTGCCTATAAAATGTTTCTGCACCAAAATAAAATGCAAGGCACATAACTGTGATCTTATCGTAGACTCAATCTACAACACATGGACAAAAATATCATAAAAGTGCATGACTGGACGGCAGCAAAAGTAATATCATGTTACACAGAGATTACTATTTCTATTGTACATTTATGTTGAGACGTCAAATTAAACACAATACTCATTGCACAAAATACATAAACCAAAACACTACAGGGATGGTACAATCTAAAACAATGTATCAAACTTAGTATAAATTGTTTGATTACTAGATTCACAACAATAAATAAGTGATCAAACTTATTTACAATACTCAGATCATCAGAAAGCAATACATTGTACATACTTAAACAATTAAAGGAAAATAATTTAAATCAAAGTTAAGCATTAATCAAAATACAATACAGAAAAATGTACTATATTTTGTGATTATAAATGTACTGTATTTTGTGATTAAATATGTATAAATATATTTAATAAAATTCAAGGAAAAATGCCATCTTCTGTTAATTTCTTGATGAAAAAATCCCTGATTTTTGTTCATAATATTCCTGTAAATTTATTTTGTTTGCAACCTCCTATAAAATGTTTAAGATTGATAAAAATAATGTTACGAAACCATATTTTGAAAGTTTATGATTTATTCTGCTTTTATCCAAAGGGACTTTTTACTTAGGGAATAACTATCTTTTAATTTGTTATAATTTGACCTGTAATGGCGATTTATTGGTCTCAAATAGAGTTTTAAGAGCAATGTACCAGCACTTAAAAGATATTTATTTCCATTTTCTTTCAGTATACAAGGTATACACTTTGTTTGATGTCTATGTCCTATTTCATTCAGTTTTGTTATATGAAATTCAGTAAAACTTATCTAAAGTTCCAAATAAATTGGCCAGATTAGAAAAAGTTCTGGTTTAGACAACACTTTAAAACAACTAAATTATGACAAGGGACAAACTTTTTTTTGGATTAGACAAGATTTCAGAGTATTCAACATCTAGATTAGACAAGTTTCACTGTATATACAATGTACATCCTGAAACATTGTGTTTTTGAATTGACAATCCAAAGCTTTCCTGCAATGCTCAATTAACAGCCTTAGATAAGTTTTACTGAATTTCATATAACAAAACTGAATGAAATAGGACGTAGACATCAAACAAAACAATAGCATTTAAATGCATTATTTTATAACTTTACACATAAAGTTTAAACATTAAGTAAGAGGTTTCCTAACCTCATTGAAGCCTAAAATAATGACTTTACAGTAAATAAATGTTTTAAAATTAATATTGTTGATAAAACCATATCTGACCAGTACATGTACCTGTATGTGTTATCATAAACAAAGAACCTGAGGCTATGATTCAGTATCCCTGTAAAACAGCGCTGATCCTGACAGTTTATCTGTACTGTGATAGTCCTGTCTCCCTGGTCCCCGGGAAAGTCCCTCCCGCACCAGGCTGGTGTTCTCCCGAGACAGGTTTATAGATTTCTTCAGCTGTTCATAACTCCAGTTCATCTGCTGAATTTCGTTGTGATGTCGACGTTTAGTGTCCTCCATTTCCTTCAGCAGATGGTCATTTGTATTCACTAATGATCTACAGAAAGTATAAACAGAATAAGTGGAAGGCCAACTAATTAGACCATCCATAAAAACTACCAAGCCAAGCTCTCTCAATGATAGTTACTGTTGAATAAAAAATGATAATTTTGGAATAAATATTTAAACATAAATATGGGAGATTTTTATCTTCTTTATCTAACTTGGCTTATCACCACAAAACAATATTGATTCTATACCAAAGGATGCCAATTCTTCAAGATGACTTGAAATATTATCTTTTCAAAATTTGCGCAAGTACTTTATGTTTTACCGAGTACTGTACTAAGTACTTAGTCGAATGCTACACATGTACTTACTGTATGTGCAATTCTCATTAGACAAGCAGATAAATATTTTTTTCCACCATGACTTACTTGTGACTCTGCTGTAACATAGAGGCTAGTTCCTGAACCTGACCAAACTGTTTCAGTCTGATCTGTAACATTTCCACCTCGGACTTCAGTATCTCATTCTGTCTTTGTAAGTCATCTGTAAAACACAGTTATTTTCAATTCAATTCATTCTAAGCTCTTTAACAGTATATTTTATTTTAGATACTGTGAGTCGTTTTAATTCCACGGTGTCAAAATTTCACGATATCTTAAAAAGTACCAATTGCGATGATTTAATTTCACGATGCAAGAAATTTTGTAAAGTGTATAATCATTTAAACGTTTTTAATAACTAAAACTGAAATTCCAAAATAATAATAAAATTGTACTAAAACAGTACCAAGATTACCTATATTAAAAAAGATAAAAGACTCAACTAAAAATAATACTTAGTAAAGGGTTTTTAAAAAATTATTTTAGAAAACTACTCATTTTATTTCATGGGTGATGGTGGGATTTAAAGTTCAAGGGTAACCTGAATTTTATTGATATATGGGGACAGCATTGGTAACTTGCATACAGAAGCAATATGTTGCCTAACTTATTCCTCTTTCAGAATATAAATTTGTAGGTAGGTGTGTCCCTAAGAATCCATAAGCATTGGTTCCCCATAAACAATGATGATACCAAAGTAAAAAGAAATAAGGAAAAAAAATGTATTTTAAACATATGTTTAAAATTTACAAAAATGTAGCCTGTACCAAGTTGTGCTGGATTGAGACTGGAGACTGTTGAGAGTTTTGAGTCCTCCACTTCTTTGAGTTGAAATGACAGCTTTCTATTTTCATTCATGTACTTCTGTAACTTGTCCTTAAGTTGCTCCTGTTAAAGAAAAATATTCTTCTATACACTTTTTGTTGATTTTCTTTTTGTATAAGAAACTAAAAGAAGATTTTTTAACACATACACTTTTCAGAAAATGAAGCTAAAAACTACTTATTTAAAACTAGCAATGATTTCAAATACATATGAAATGATCACAAGCTTCACCACGAAAAATTTAACATGCAGTTTCTCTAATAGAGAGACTGTATAGCTTTTAACTTTGACAGACGTACATGTACCACATCTTTGTAGGCAGTACATTTAACTTTGACAGACATACCACATCTTTGTAAGCCTTTGTGAGGGAGTTATAACTTTGACAGACATACCACATCTTTGTAAGCCTTTGTGAGGGAGTTATAACTTTGACAGACATACCACATCTTTGTAGGCTTTTGTGAGGGAGTTTTTCAGTTGGGATTCGTTGACAGAACTATCTGCTAAGTTGGCTTTGGTGGCTTCTTCATACTTCCTCAGATGGTAGTTCTCATCCTGGAGAGTTTTTAGATGACCCTCTAGTTGATGCCGCTTTTCTGTCTCGTTGTCTGATTTCATGAAGTTTTCAATCACACCATAGGCAAGAGCTGTAATGATTTTTTTAAAAAATCAAATGAAATAAAACAGTAGTTTTTGAAATCATGGATATCTATTTTTTTTTCAATTTAAATTCAAACATTCTTCATCTTTTCTATTGCTCTATATTTGCTCTCTGACAATTTTTCTACTTTTTCACGTAATGAATACTGTATACAGTTTTCGTTCAACCTCGGTTGAAAATTTTTATAATTTCTTAAACAAACAGTGACTGGGTGAATTTAAAATGGGGCAAAATCGTTTGCAAGTGTGAAAGGGCGAAAATAAAACGGGGCGAAAATAACCCTGTATACAGTATTCTTGTAAATATTTCGTAGAATGAAAATTTACCTTTGAACTTGGCATGCTTATGTAGGGACTTTGAACCATTCCAATATCGATCAACTAAATCCAGTATTTTGAGAAGGAAGGCCCTATTTTCTGGTGTTTCTGGGGCCATACCCCTCATACTACCACTAGTAATCTTAGAATCATCTGGAGAGTTGGGGTGGTCAGTACCATTCACTCTGTGGATCCCAAAGTCATCCTTATAACAGAATATTATAACTTTGTTACTCATTCTTCAAATAATTTTCTTAAGATCTTCTATGTGTAAAGGCAATATACCCTGGATCATCTCAATTGTCTTAAAGAAATTTTATCTTCCAAAGCATGCACACTATATGTATAAAACCCCCAAGATTTGGTAGATGAATTGTAAATGATTAGTGTTTTTATATAAGTGAGGTCAAAAACAATACAAACATATTACGTATAACCCTGTTACCTCTACTTTTTTGGAAGGAGCACTGTTTGATCGCTGATGCATGTCCTCATCTTCACCAAATGATCTTCTCCTCTGTGTCGGTACACGAGGTGGATCCTGGATTATTTCCCTTTGATTCAAGTTGCGATCCAATTCTAAATATCCAAGACAATATAACTGCAGCTAATTTCTCAAATCACTCGAAATTAAAAAGATATTACATAAAAAGATTTCCAATATATCATTACTTGTAAATTATTAGAAACATTTATATATATTGTGATAAATTACATCTCAATACTGTGAAACAGGTAATGTTACAAATACTAAGAACACATTTTGAAGTGACTATAGGTCTGTTCATGATCCTGACCTGCATTAGGGTGGGGTGTAAAGTAGCCATGGCTCTTAAACTTATTGTAGGCCTCCGCCTCATCCTCGTACTGTAGATTGACATCATGGCTAAAAAGATAGCGAGTCTCATCAAATGTCTTACTTTATTTCAAAGAATGAAAATTCTTCAATAAACTATAATCTTAAAGTTTCACTCTGAATTCAACCACTTTATTATGTCAGGAAACTAAAAAATAGTGAACGTAAGGCTCTAATTATAATGGTTTATCGATGATATACCAAGAATCATATTTTACCACATTTAAAAATTACCACATGTTACTAGATGTACACATGTAGGTGAAATTCACTGTTTTTAGAACTTTATAATAAAAAAATTAATACCAATGCATATAGTTTGGAGGAAATATTAAAATTCATGTACAGTTGTATAAATGAAGTATGTATCTAAGTCTGATAAAAAGATGAGAACTCACCGTGACTGGGGATCATCATAAGATGTAACGTTCACCACGGGAATGTTGGGATATTTCTCTGCATAACCTTTTAACCTTTCATCCATTACAACCGCAGGTGTTGGACTAGTGGGTCTCTATTAAAAGAAATTCTCCATTATAAATTTCAGTACAAATTCAACCAGCAAGCTGAATTACATTTATGTTTAATTTTGCGAGTTGATAAAAATTTTGTGGAAATGGAGATCAGGAATGAAGAAGCCATTTGAGGTGAGACATATTCTTACTAGGGGTGTAAAGGTATTCAGGGATATTGTGATACATTTTAATTGAAGTTTATAACAAAAACAACAATCTGGAACTTTGCATACTTTAGATATGTTAATCAGTGTTTGTAAGTTAGAATTCACATTGTTTGACTGCTTTAATTTTTATCTTGAGAAATAATAATTAATATATAAAAATATAATTTTGTATAATTTGTATTTGATACTGTAAACGTATTACATTTGGCTACGTATTCTTTTTAGCGATTTTGGCGCAGAGAAACTTCAGCTAATTTAAGTACATTACTAAATGTATTGCACATATATACATTAATAAGAACATCAAGAAATGTGCTAATTCAAATCTACGCTAACTTGTTCTAAATTCAATTTCAGCCAAATATCGTACACGCTAAATATAATACATTTACAGTACTTCATAAATTTTCTTTTTATAGATTGAAATTTTCACTTGCATATTCCTAAAAATATAACATTGTTTACTTTTATATTACATACTATTACATGCAGTAGTAACTTTTGTAGGACAAATAAAAAAGAAAAATAATTTTATCAATATGTATCATGATTCACAAGCCAAAAAACATTGATATATGATGATACATTTTCTGTGTATCATTACTGCTCCTTAGTTCTTACCTCCCTAGGGCTATCTGTTTGTTCAGTATCCATGCTTTTCAAAACTAGATTGCAAAATGCAGAAAAATTTGTTGATTAATATAAAATGAATATTTTATATGAACCAAAGCTGAGTACAAAGTCATGTAAAACATTATATTATAAACGGAATTTTCAACTGTTTTGTCTTTGGCTCAGGTGTCAGAGCTAACAAGTCAGTTTTCATCAAAAGCATGTCCTCTCATATATTTACTGTACACTAAACACAGTGCAATATTTACCATCCAATGAGTACTCCTGTGCTTGGTCTTCTTTTGCAGATGACCCAGTTATTGGACGAGGTCGACTAAGGTCACCACCTGACCTTGCTATTAGGTCAAGGACAGCTACATCATCATCATCTAGGGCTAAGAAAACAAAGTGTATTAACTTTGTATCAATTCAATTGAAAACAAAAACTCCAATATTTATTTTTTTAAGAAGCATTCTCTTACATCAAATATTTTCATTAAATGAAGAATTTACAAAGTTAAACTTTATTAATCTGAATTCAATAAGACCAAAAAACAGAGATATCCAAAGATTTAAAATATCTAAGGTAAAATACCCAGTTCTTGAGGGAAAAAATGGTTGAAATTTCCAAAATACTTTCACATAACCAAGGTATTTGAGATATTGATGTTCAAGATACTGAAGTTCAACTGTATTTTGATCTCTACTCCATGTCAAATCCATGACCATCTCCAAACCACACCTTATGTTTATATCTCTGACATCACTGATATAAGCATTGCATCACTTATCTAAATAAACTTACCACTGACCCCTTTGCCGACCCCCCTGACCATCTCTGCCCGTGGGTTGGGTGCTCTCTGTTCAGGCTCCTCTTGGCGGGGGTGATGGGTCATCTCTGTAGCCTGACTAGAACTGAAGTGGACCAGGGCGGCCTGTCTTTCTCTGTCCCTCACGCCTCTGTCATCTGAAGCACAACAACAGAAAATGAACTTACAAGAATTTATCCAAAAAAAAAATAAACAGGTGCTATATACATAACTGAATTCATTTAATTTACTTCATTGGCCCTGTATATTGTTTAGGATGAATATGAAATTAAAAGACTTAAAAAAAATTTTGGGTCAAAAATTTATTGTAGTTTTTTTTTTGATAAATAATGTTTTGAAAGATGATTCAAATGCATTTTCATATCATTTTTTTTTTTCAAAATATGATTCATTGACATATCTTTTAACTTTGCTAAGTTGAAACTTGAATGTCATTGAATAATAATAATTAATATAGGTCCACTAAACCACTACATTTAACTATATGTGTATTTTAATGTAAGTCAGAATTATCTGCTATCTTTTCAACAATAACAGAAAAGTGATCACAGATTTTAATCAAATAGATTTACTCTTTCTGAAAAAAATTCCAAATAACAATATTTTTGCTCTTGACATGGAATATGATATAAGTAAAATGCCTGATGTGTTGTAGACATTATCCAGTATTATTACCGGTAAGTAAATTATCACACTAAAACATCTTACCCAGTTTTTGTAAGTTTGGCAGCATGTGAATCATGTAGAGTCTGTAGTCCGGTTCTGTGCGGGTGATGGGGTTCAGTCGCAGATCTAGATCCTTCAGACTCGTGTTAAATCGCAATTTCTTCAACTCATCCATTGTCTCTATATTGTTGTAATATCTTAACTCATTAAGGATTGTGTGATGAGGAATGACATGTACATGTAGGTGCTTGTATACTAGTTTTCTTTGCAATTATGCAAATTACCTATTAAAGCTAAGTTTGAATAAAACTAAGAAAAAAGATACAGATTGAGCTTCTCCAGCAACTTTAAATGTTCCAGACCCTGCAAATATAACATTCTGAGACATCAAAAAGACATTTTCAAATTATATTGGTGAGTAACATTTCATTTCATATTTCAAAACATTTTTTCTTGAATCATAAATACCTTTATCATTTCTTCTAAAATTTCTTGAATGAATAAGATGCAAATAATTTTTATTTTAAACTAGATGTAGAACAAAGGCAATCAACTATAACATAGCCCAACTTGTTGAATATAACATAGCCCAACTCATTGGATATAACATAGCATGACTCTTTGAATATAACATAGCACGACTCATTGAATATAACATAGAATGACTCATTGAATATAACATAGCATGACTCTTTGAATATAACATAGCATGACTCATTGAATATAACATAGTATGACTCATTGAATATAATATAGCATGACTCATTGAATATAACATAGCATGACTCATTGAATATAACATAGCCCAACTCATTGATTGAATATAACATAGCATGACTCATTGAATGTTATCTTTAAGTAAGGAAAAGTCCCAACTAAACAGATCTAGTAGTGTGCATCTTTAGATGCAACATTTACTGGTATGCAAGTTTGGTCCACACAGGGCTTGCATTTTCTTGGAAATGGACCTGCTCAAAAATCTTAATTTGTCACTCATCTTGAAAAGGTAGGTCAGATCCAACATCTGAAACAAGAGCAATAGTGTGCATCCCTGGATGAATCAATCATGCAAGTCTCCTCTAGCAAGTAAGGAAGTGTGCATCCCTTGATGTATCATCCACACAAGTTTGGTCATTTATGTCTTGTATTTTGTTGGAAGTGGAACTGCTCCAAAACATTAATCTGGTCATTTATCTTGAAAATGTAGATCAAAACCAGTGTTCAAAACTGATCTAGTTGAGTGCATCAAAGTATGTCAGTATCATCTGTGTGAGTTTGGTCTGCAAAGGACTTATATCTAATTAGAATTAACATGCTCGGAATCTTTGACCTGATCACTCATGTGTAAAATGTAGGTCAGGTCCAGCTGATACTGACTGGTAGTGTGCATCCTTAGATGTATCATCAATGCAAGTTTGGTTAACAAAGAGCTTATAGTTACTTGAAAATGATAATCTGATCTGAAAACATTACCCTGCATGTTCTTTGATTGAAAATACAGCATTTGGCACCAATTTTCAGTACAAACACACTATTAACATCATCCATACATCTTTTATTAATATTTAAGTACTTAAAGAGGAGTCTGCCAAGTGCTCCACTTTAGAACCTATATATTAACCTGGGACACAGGTGCTGTGGGTACCACATAAGTCCCAGTTCACTGAGATGATCCAAAAGAATCTTACCTGTAGACTAGCTATGGAATTCCTTGAGAGATCTAGTGACTTTAATCTGGAAAACTTCCGAAGAGAATTTCCCAGACAAACGACCTTCTCATGATAGGTCCCTGGTAGTGATAAAGCTTTGACATCCTCTGAAATATTTCAGGTGAATCAAAATGTAGAATCATAATAAGAACTTTTTCTACATGTTTAGAGTGCATGCAGTATATATAAATGTATATTAGCGAGCGCAGCGAGGCGGCGCGAAGCGCCGCTCGCATAGCGAGCTCAATAGACTAACGTGTACGAACAGAGGAAATTCAGGTTGAAATCTGCACATTGTTCCAAGAAATTTTTATCTCACCGCGTGAAAAAATTCCAAACTCCCAATAATCCTTTGCGGTGCATAGCAACGTGGTGGCTAAAACATAGCAACAACTTACTTTAAAAATTACAAACAATGATTTAATGCAATCTCCATGCCACAAAACTATCGTTTGCGTCCTAAGACAACAGGACTTTTTAACGTCATACTTTCGTCACTTAAATGGTTCGGGTATTTCCAATTTTGTAAAACTCCTGAAAGTTCGGAAGTATGCTTGGGAAGTGATTTCTTTTTATTGTTTAGTTTTCTTCTTTTTCTTGAATGATAGGCAGTGCATGTACCATGTGTACATGTGTAGGTTTATGATAGTACATAACTGCACTCGCCCGAACGGTCACACCGTAAAACATATTATTTTAACAAATAAAATGTCTTCAATTTCTCTTGTTAGGAGCCAATTTTAAATTTTATTTCACCTTTTTAATATGTAAATGTATGATTTTTTTTAAGGTAATGTAAATGCATTTCATATATCATGTATATTTAACATATCAGGCCAAGAAAGAAATGGGTTCGATTATTACAAATGCCAAATAATTAGGGTCAATCAAGTATTAGTCTTGAATATTTTTTTCTCAGGCCTCAGATGTATGTACATTTGAACAAGGCAATAATTTAAACCCTTTTACAGGATTAAAGTACAGCATTAAATGTCAGAAGTACTTTTTATAAGTTTATTGGTAGTTTGATGATATTTTAAATGCCATCCATTCTCATGCATCTCTAATTTAACATTTTGAAGTGGAAAACAATCACCTGTTATTTACAAGATCTGATAAGAACCAATGCTATGTTCCAATAATAAGAATGTTGACCACCGCCGAACATGTTTCGACACGCCCACTTCCAAATTTGAATCAATGAATGGCAATCAGAATTTAATTCAGTAACGATATGCATATATCACAAAAGTTATTGTTAGACAAAAACATTACATACTTTTATTTAAAAAGTGTTCAAAAACGAAATCTTTTATAAAACATGGGTGTTGACAGAGACCCGGCATAGTTCTGTTACACATGCTTTTAAAACAATGCATACACAGCTGCAAGTTTAGTAAAAATATGTAAAGCTAGCAATTTAAGGTGTGTTTACATTTTAAAAACTGCATTATCCTCACCTAAATTGTCGTGTTGTAGATTCACACGATTTCGAATGACTTCTTCTGACAATGTGAGCGCCATGTTTTCAAAACATTAAAAATTGTATACGAGTCGAACATGGGCTTCAAATCCGTAAAAACGATAACCAAAATTTCTTTCTATTTTAGATAAATTTGATTTAAACAATTTTATTCATAAAATTGTTTCATCATGGGTTAAATAGATCACTTATTTATTCGGAATGAATAATAAATTATCAATATAGTAATTTTCTATCTTCATCGGGTTCGATATTCAATTAATTCAGTTCATCAAAACTTGCTCATGCCTGGTTACTCTTTCAGAATGGTAAACAAGTTATGACAGAAACACGGTACCTGGGTTTAGAAAATCAGGAATACCCAGCAAAATGACGAGCTTAGACATTATCATGGTAATGGCACTCAAATCATAATGACAACATCTACAAAATCCTACATCTGAAACTTTTTTTCCTTCAACATCTGATATTTTGTCAAACTGTTATTTTTCTTTAGTTTAACAAGTTTGCAATCAAAACATGCTACAGAACGATTTAAATTGTGTAAAGTACATGCATTTAGATATATATGAAATATATTTGTGACTCAATTTATTGATAACTTTGAGAAATCTGGAGAATTAATTTTTTTAATTACGTGAAACCATTCCTACATGGCACACTTTATAAGAACTTGCATATTATTGATTAAAATGCATCTGTGACAATTTGAGGAACTCATTAAGAGAGGAAAATATATAATAAGTCATCATAAAGTTTTAGAAGAAACACATTTAGTAATTATAACTTTATGATTGACTTTCACAGAAAGCAGTGGATGACCTGTACAGTTTTCGAGATCATTTTGTGGAGAATCATGGGATTGAGAAGGCAGCTCAAAAGACAGAGGAAGTCAGCAAGCTCATGAAAGAAACTCTGAAAACTTTAGAAACTCATAAAGGTTGTCAGTTCATTGTCATATTCTCATAATGATGTTTTGTCCCTGGTTCCCTTTTATGATACTTTCAAAGAGTTTGCAATGAAACATGCAAATATCTCACTTCTGAGGGAACAAAATTACAAATGTCAACCCAATCTTAGGAAAGATCTCAAGGTATTAAGATCTTAAACTTTAAAAAGCTTTAAAAAGTAATTTGCTTAGAAAAACATTGTCGTTAACACCATAAATTATTTACTTTCCCATTTATTTCAGACAACATCAAGGACAAGGCAGTGTTTTACATGTTACAGGGTAAGACACTTAATGTCCTACCAACTCATAGTCCCGAGGCTGAGGAAAATCTGTCCAAAGCTGTCAAGCTTGATCCCAAGCTTGTGGAGGCATGGAACCAGCTCGGAGAAAACTACTGGAAGAAAGGCGATGTTCCTTTAGCCAAAAACTGCTTTACAGGGGCCTTAAATCATGTAAGAACATTGCAAAAAAAAAAAAAAGGAAAAGAAATATGCAGAATAATTTCTATGGAAGCATATAATTTTTTTAATATTACTTTGTTATGAATATTGACTTTACTATTTTTTTTTCCAGGCAAAGAACAAAATATCTTTACGTAATTTGTCTATGGTGTTGCGGCAAATTGGTGGTAACCCATCAGAGCGAGCTAAACTTGTAGAGGAGAGTGTGGAGAAAGCTAAAGAAGCTGTACAGCTGGACATACAGGATGGCAGCTCATGGTGTACGTATTTAAGATAGATAATGCTGAAACCACTTTATTCCATCAAATATATTGATAGAATGAAGCATAAAATATACTGTATCATATTTAAAAAAAAATATTGGTATAAATAATGCACAGTGACACAACAAAAACGTTCATTTGGTGTGAGAATTTTTATTCTAAATAATGTTTGTAGAGCTAAGCTTTGTATGTGTACTTATGTCAGTGTAATTATATTGACCAAGGAGTTTTGTTTCTTTTTTCACAGTGATTTTGGGTAATGCCTATATGTCCCTGTTCTTTGCTGTTGGTCAGGCATCACAAGCTCTGGATCAGAGTATGAAGGCTTACGCACAAGCAGTGAGTATAATACAGACAATGCAGGAATTACATTTAGTATATTTTCATAGGAAAAGAAAATAATTTATTCTCAACAAAAGCTGTTAAAAGTTGAAGAAATATATACAACATCTCAGAAAGATTTTGAGATTTCCTTAATTTGAGTAGATGTTTTTAACATAAGTTCATAGAATTGTAAGTACGGTTGCAGCTGATTCTGAATCAGAATGACTTTCACTTTCAGTTGGTTTTATTTATTTTACAGGAGAAAGATCCAGTGGCGAGAGACAATTCTGACCTACATTTTAACAGAGCAGTGGTGGGTTTATATCAAATATGTAATTTGCTTGGAAAAAATAATCATAATATAAATCTACATTAAATCTTTGGTAAAATTATAGTTGTTAGACATTGCATATAATTATACCTGACCCTTTGTTAGAAATGATTTACTATGTGCATTAATGCTCAGTAGTGCTCTTTTTAGGTCACCTTAGTAACTCAGGTGACCTATTGCTATCTGTTTTCGTCCGTCGTGTGTTAACATTTGAACATTTTCAGCTTCTTCTCTGAAACCACTGAACCAATTTCAACCAAATTTGGTATACAGTATCTATGGGTGAAGGGGAACATAATATATGAATTTCATGGTCCCTGCCCCCCTGGGGCCTGGGGGGTGGTGCCAAAACCACTAAAATTATTGCAATCTTTAAAAATCTTCTCCTTTACTCTTGGACATCAAGCAGGCAAAACTGTTGGCATGAATGTATTGAGCATGGAGTCCTCTACCAAAATTGTGAAATTCATGGCCCCAGGGTCAGGGGTTCTAGTGCTAGGGCGGGGCTATATAGATTATACAGTGAAAATGCATTATTTCTTTAAAAATCTTTTCCTCTGCTCCTGGGTATTAAATAAACTAACTTAGTACATAGTTATGATGAGCAAGAGTGCCTCTTCCAAAACTGTGAATTTTATGGCCCCAGGGTCAGGGGTTCTGGTGTTTAGACGGGGCTCTATTGATTATATAGTGAAAATGCATTTATTCTTTGAAAATCTTCTTCTCCGCTTCTGGGTATTAAATTAACTAACTAAGCACATAGTTATGATGAGCAAGAGTGCCTCTTCCAAAATTGTGAATTTTATGGCCCCAGGGTCAGGGGTTCTAATGCTAGGGAGGGGCTATATAGATTACATAGTGAAAATGCATTATTTCTTTGAAAATCTTTTCCTTTGCTCCTGGGTTTTATGCCAATGATCCAAGTATATATATTTATGATGAAGAAAGGTGCGTCTAGCAAAATGGTTATTTTTTATGCCCCCCCCCATCCCTGGGTCGGGGCGGGGGTTACATAGTCTGAAAATAAAATTTGCAAAATTATGAAATATATGGCCCCAGGGTCCGTGGTTCCTTTGGGATGAGGTGCAAAACTGGTTATAAAGTGGAAGTGCATTTTCTTTTTGTTACTCTGATCAACCTCTGGGTATTAATTAATAGAGTAAGCATGCTAAGTTTATAATTATGATAAGCAATGGTGCCTCTTTCAAAATTATGAATTGTAAATTTCATGGCCTCTTGTTTAAAACACGAACCAAAGTTATTTGTTTGAAAGTTGTTACACGATACTCAGGTGACCTATAAGGCCCATGGGCCTCTTGTTATCAATATGCTATCATACTTTGATTGTTGTGATGTTGTAGGCTTACAAATACGAGGAGAATTACACGGCTGCTTTGTCGGGATTTTCCCGGGCCTCTCAGTTAGACCCCAGCTGGCCTGACCCCCAGACTCACGAGTCACACCTCTTGACTTTCCTCTCCAACGTCAGAGAACTGACACAATCCAAGGTAAAGTTCTGTCCAACTTACGCTGTATTGACTGAACTTGAATGACTTATATGTAATGAGTTGGAGTTATTGCCCTTAAAATGCTTCTTTTGGTTATTTATTCAAGGGCATTAACTGATTTACAAATATCTTTCTTATATTTTGAGTGATTGATATAAGATGTATTTTAAATAAATAACATTTTGGAATAGAAATTAAATAATGAGAAGCATCTATCAGTTAAAATTACTATTTAAATGTGTTTGTGCAATGTTTAGTTCAAATGGTTGGGAAAGACTTGATATATAAAAGTAAATTTATTTATGTTCTGTGTAAAAGTTTTTTGTCTAATAACTTATCCTGAGAAATCTTTATTTTTAGGGGAAGATTAAGCCAAAAAAGCTTCAGTCTATGATCGAGAGCATAAAACCCTCTGACCTTGGACCTTATGGAGGAGGAACCTACACCAGCCCTCTTGGGAAATCGGTGGATTTAGTCAAGTGTAAATTCAGTGACCTGAAGCCAGAGGTCAACCAGAACAAAGTCATCCTGGGCAAGGTCGTTTGTACCATAACCACCAGTCAACCGGTGCCATTGTAAGAAACCTTAATATTTCAATAAATATCGGATACGAAATATTTTATATCACTTTTCATATGTAAGAACTTTATTTTTGCATAATAACATGAGATATTCATTCTCAAAAATTTCATTCATGCATATTCTTTATCAGCACAGGATGTATTATAGAGTTAAAGTATATCATTGAGGGAGTTGGAAGGATTCCAGTTCCCCGGGGCCAGAATTATTTCCCGAGGCGAAGGGAAATAGTCCTGGTCAAGGGGAACTGGAATCTTTCTAACTCCCTTAATGATATACTTCTAAATGTTTTATTACACCGATACAAAAGTAAATTTAAAAAAATAGAGGATTACGAATAACTTGAAATTAGCTCTGAAAGCGAGGATTTGCTCTCTTGACTAACACAAAAGGATTAGTCCATTAACATATTACACTGTGTCACGTGGTCAAGCTGGCTATCTCCAAAAAATCACACAAGTTCAACTAAGTTTAATAAATTTATTTACAAGAAAAAAAATTAACAAAGACCTCACACAATCTACCGCACTCTGATCCACACCTCTTACTCACTATTAAACAGTTAACAAAAAAAAAAAACCAATTCACTTAGTAACCAGTTATCCAATTAACAATCTACCCCGGGTATATATCTCAGTTATCAATGAATGAATGTTTCAATCAATTAATGCCAAATGTTTCCCAATGTAGTGATCGTATCCGTATCATCGATCCTCATCCTCATCATCACCATCATCATGATGATCATCATATAAATAAAACCATGTCAGGTTTGCCACTAGTGTTCATCTAACGAACTATCACAACATTACATGGTTTGACTTATCTGTGTCTGTCCACAGTCAGCGAGTCTTGATCACACACACAGCATCCTTCCGGGCTTTAGTCCTGAAACCTTTCGCTGTGTCACCATGATCAAATGATCCCCTTAGCTTAGTGCATGTACCCAATATCCAGTACCAATATCCCTGACGCTACAATGATGCATACTAATAAGTCACATATTTCACTACATATGTTTGGCAATACCACTATGTATGTTTGGCCATTCATTCTCAATATAAAATAATCAAAAAAGTATTAAGTATAATGGTTACCAGTTAACAAAAGTCAAAACAAATTATTGCCAATATGGCGCACCTTACTTTCAACTTCCGGTCATTCACTTCCGCCCAGACATTTAAACCAAAATTTAAATGGACAAAATATTCTACACAAAGTAACAAAACTGAGTACAAGAAAATAGCGTACATTTAACAGTAAGAACTTTAAACGTTATCGAAATAATACAACAGCCACTCGAACACTCTCGCTAACCGTCACACCTGAGTGGACAACAGGTAAAATGGTGAGAGCTGGCCAAGTTAAGAAATAAGAACGAAGTTGTACTCAATAATAAATTTGCCTTTAAAATAAAAACTATATACAAAGCAAATAATATCATAATATCATAAGTAATACTTACCACGGACCTGTCTCCGTGCCAGTGTCAAGATAAAGCTTGTATGGCTATTAACATATACTAGCTGCTTGGAAAAACGTGTCTGCAGCTACGCTTCTCTGCCGGGAATGACCAGGCCTCAATTGTTCTGGTGGGCTTAGCTATCGTGCAAGGACTTATGGGTAAAATAGGCATAGGGACAAAACATGGGAAATACAAATCACATACACAAGTGCAATAGTGATTGTTACACACTGCTACTCAAGTAAAATCTAGAGGATCACAGATAACTGGGAATTAGCTTCCAAAGCAGGGATTGGCTCATTTGATGCACAGGGATCAGTTGAATCACAGTGATTTTAGGGAATAACCAACATTTAACAATCTAAATTATATATAGGGAAAAATCATCAGAATAATAAATCAGATTAAAATACCTACAATATTGTCAAAGATTTGGATTGTCTGATTTTTACAGCTCATTTTGTATGTACGGTACAATACTGATAAAGATTTTGAATGTCCAATTGTTTTACAGCTCGTTTTGTATGGTGGATGAAGAGGAGACCTGCCTACCAGTCACAGTGTACAACATGGCCCAGGGGTGTGGGGTGAAAATTGGTGACAGTGTGGCTATCCCTGAACCCTACCTTCAAGATGTCAAGGTCAACCACAAAAATCAGGTCAGTCAAGTGTAATAAAGTCAACATCTTATCTGGATCACTGGATCATATTAGAATACTATGTATATGTATGTGTTAAAGACAAGCAATTCATGATAAATATATTCTCATTTTACATAATAAAGTATTTATTTCTCTTTCAGAAGTTTGAATTCAGCAGCATTCGTGTTAACTCGCCATTGGTGCTCGTTGTAAATGGGAAAAAGTTTGGAGTTGACAAACAAGCACCTTCTGTTTTAGCCGTACATACCATGTGTGAATGATCTAAGCAGACATTGATCCATCTCATGATCTGTGTGTGTATGTGTGTGAATAAAAAGTGGCTTACAGCAGTTTATTGACAATTCTGACCAACATTGAAACAACATAATGTTCATTGAATTCCCAAGAAAGCATGTATACCTGTTGATAATAATGAAAGTTAGCTTTTGCTTGATATAAGCTTCATATCATAAGACTAAATTTTCATCATTAAATGATGTTTTACTAAAATATGCTGTTTTCATGTTGTTATTAATCACATTTCCTATACAGTTCATTTAGATCTACATGATGTACGTCATAATTTATATTTATCCAAAAAGGGAAACGTTTTTGGTTGTATACCTGTAACAGAACATTGTTTGGAATGGTGTCGCGCAGAATTGAAGTAAAAATTAAAATAATACATGTAATGCTCATGAAATACCTCAATCAAACTATAAAATATAGTGGATAAGTGGTTTTTAAAAATTATTACAGATATGCAAAGAACTATATGCGGTATATTGCATATATTTGCCCCACAAAAGTCAAATTTTGAAAACTTCCTGAAATGTGCTGAATTCAATAAATTGTATGAGAAATATAAATTAACAGAAATTATTATAGTTTCAAAGCAGTGTATTCACAATTTTCGTTTTAATGACGTCACAAACTAGTCCGATTTTATATCCTTTTTCAGAAAGAGGACAAAATGGACAAAATCTCAGCAATTTTAGCTTTAAAATATAGAGAGCGCAAGTTTGTTCAGGAACAATATTGACATATTTCATTGATATTATCATTCTACACATTATATCAAAATATTAATCCTTAACACACATGCGCTCGGTGACTTTTACTCAAAATATCGACGAAATATGTACATTTTTCTGTAAAATTCATAAAAATCTTATATTTACGTCATTTTTGTGACGTCATTACGTACATATGACGTCATTTCTTATGAAAATATTCAGTGCTTTGAAGTCAGCATATACTCCCCTGTTTAAGAACTTAATTAAATATACCTCCATCAAAGTTTGATTTGGGGGGCAAATATTGGTTATTACCGAATAAAGTTCTTTACGGAGAACTGCAGAGTGTTTGTTTTATTAGTTTTTAAACATCGGGATCGACATCCTATTATTCTACTTTCAGTTTGTTAACGTGGTTAGAAGTTGTTAGTGTTACTCGTGTCAAAAAAATTATAAGTCAGTTGAACCCTATATGGCTTGTAAATTTATTATTTGATGGACAAGAACATGTGGTTCGATCTAACTTTCAATATTAATGTTACAAACTCCGCCGTTTCGACATGGAATATAATTTTCCGGAGACTGGGAAGGATCCCCGATTCGTGCAGTTGCTCCAACAAATGCACAAAGCATTTTCAGTCATGAAATCAAGTCTAAGAATCTGGGAAGAAGCTATAGAAAAGTCTCAGCCATATTTGAAAAGAGTACAGAACTTGTCAGAGCAACATCATTGCTGTGTGCAAGCTCAGGGGTTAGGAGATATTGTAAAAAAGTTTCCTGACGTCAGAGAAAGACTTCTGTATAAAATCGACAAGGAGATCGACAACAATATGGTCCATCTTTACAATGCTGTGTATGTTTCTTATTATATGCAGGAAATATAAAATATTTCAATTATTAATCCTTTATCATGTTTATAAATGATAATGATATGTGCATTTGCCAGGATTGTATGTGTACATGTGTGCATCTGTGTTTATACATGTCCATGCACAATATACAGATTTTCTACAGAACTAGTTATCACATGGTTATGAAAACCGTGTATCGATCACGCATTGACCTGTATACATTCGTGAGGTCAACATTACCGCTCTTTGATTTTTACAATAAGATAAGAAAATATGTCATTTGCGCTAATCGTTATTTCTATACACAAATATAAAGGTTTTCTTGAACATGATTTAAAAGTGTTGAATATCGGATTCTATTCTTTGACGAATGAATAAAAGGTGCTGCGTTTACCATGTTTACGCGCGCTTTTCTCAGGTATTTTTTATGCTTGTAAAGCAGGGGGTATGTAGTAATTGGGGACTTCCACAGAATCTTTGTTACATACATTGTGACCTCATATTCTATTTCTTAATTGGACACATATTTCGGGTTTCCCATTGCAAAACATGGACAGTGCCATTCTTTCTATAATACTGAGGGATACCCATGGCTTATCTGCAACTCCAGCTGTACCACTGAATAAAATTTATTGATACTTTCACAGTTTTTTTTATTACACTGTGCCATTGTGCACCCCCTATTTTACTTTTAGATCCGACACTTACTTTGGATGTCTCTGAGCAACACATGGACTTCCATTTAATATGATGATATGGAAGGCAGTGGGTATCATTTATGAGCTCAGTGCTCACAGTACCTTTAGTTTATTATTAATTTGTTACACTTTCATAATCATTCAAAAATATTTATTTACTTTTGCAGTGATGTTTGCAAAGATGTATGTGATAAAGTTGCAAAGCAGTCTGCAAGATGCCAAGTAGTCTACAACAAAACCAGTGAAGACCTTGACCTACTAACCCAAAGGTCACCTACTTGCCCCTCTGCTGTAGAAATGCTTGAGTGGTTACAAGATAGTGAACACTTAATGATGAATCAGTATCCTTTTCGAACTATTGAACAATCATCAAATGATTTCTTGTTTTAGTAATGCACATGCACTTGATACTGAAACAGTGGAAAGCTAAAAATAAAAGCAAACAAGATATCTCTTAATAAATATTTTATGCTCTTTGGAGGCAGAAATTAAAGTATAGAGTTATTTCATAATTTGGCAACATTTTTAGCTGAGCTCGCTGAAACTGAGACAAGCTTATGCTGTACCCCCTTTTTGTCATCAGCGTCCTGGTTAAAGTTTAGTAGCAAGTCCATTTCCAAGTAAGAACAGGTATAAGCCTTACCTTGACCAGACTTAGATGGATATTGCATCAAGGGTTGCACACCACTAGGCTTGCTTCAGATGCTGGTTGTAATTTTGGAATGATTCAATAGTTAAAGATTTTTAACCTAAGTCCATTTAATTTTATTTTTAACAAAATAAGTCCTACACCACAGCAAACTAGACTCTTATAAGTGATCTTTTTAAGGATGTAGTGATGAGAAAATTCATTTGTTGAAAATGTTTGCCATTCTTCATATTAATATTCAGTGAGGCAAGTTTCATAATCTTTGAATACCCTTGTTTCTGTAATGGAGAGAAGAAAGAACTTTTTGGACAACAAATATTATGAATATGGGTTGCATTTAAATTTTCTTTGACACTACCAGATACTTGATCAGGAAACATTCGCTAGACAAGTTTTCTCTGTCAGACAGGGACCAGGAGTCAGTCCTGTACAAACAGTGGTCCACAGAGGATACAGCTCTGCTACAGACGATAAAAGGTAAGGGGACAAAACTCTTATTACCATACACAATTACCTCAATCCCTTTCTGTATATAATAGTTAGTAAACTAGTGAATCAGTAAGTCTTAAAGAATATTCAGCTCTGTTGTATAGTTAAATTATTTATTTTTTTCCAGGGCATCTCCAGTATTTGGAATTCTTTTTAGAAATGAAGATCTAAGCACAGAGAATTATCTACATCAGAAATCTTAGTTGCCATGTGTGTTTGGAAACTATGACAAGATTGAGGTCTAACAAAAATGTTTTATTTTGTAACATAATATTTTCAGGTAGTTTTGTAGAAAAAACAATACATGTAAATTCAATGAAATTATATGGATTTGAGTTATACATTGACCCAGTAGCAGTGCCTTGGATTAATTAGAAAAGTATGTTTTTAAATCAAACTTACACTTTATTTCTTGTCATCTCCCCCACTGAAAGAAAACATGTTGATTTTGGCATAGTTGTATGTCATTCTCCCAAATATTTAAATAGATAAATAATGAGATGGTGATGAGTAGTTAAGAGAAAACATTCCCACTGAAGACCTGAGGCAGGGATGTTTTCTCTGAACAATTCAATACCATCAAATTATCTATGTTGATATTTAAGAAAATCTTATATAACCCCAGTAGGAATGAATCCAGTCATATGTTCAATGGTGAAATGTACTTCTAATACAACAGTTTCATATGCTTTGTTTTTCTATTAACTTAAGCTGTGATATTGATTTGAATACCATTTTGTGTAAACTTATGGGTAGAAATATGTACGGAGAACCTTCGTGCTCAAGTGACATCACAATAATAATAAATAAGGGTAAATCGAGTATAATGTAGGTGCTTTTAAACATGCAAGTGTTTATATAATGAAATTTTTTAAGTTAAGCATGGATTATTGGTGTGTAAATCACAGACTTGTCATGTAGGCATATTTCATGAAGCATGCTCACAGAAAACTATAACTATTCTTTAATTAACAATAAAGATCTCAAATTACAGTCAAACCTCTTTATATCGATTCATTGGACCAAAGATTAGAAATTAAAAGCAGAAATCCAATATGCAAAGATTTTAATACATGTATAAGTAATGTATACAGTCTGTATATGTAACCATATTCATAAATATTAAATTGTACAATTAAAGAATGTAGATTAAAAAACACAGAATAATATGACAGTATTGTGTAATATTTTTGTTTTTACAAAATACCAGTATATTCTTATATGTGAATACTGACTGTGTTTTCCTGCCTTTCACATTATTCATTCTCACTAATTATAATACGTAGCTTACTTGCACAATATTCTTAACTCAATTTTCTTTATGCATCAACAGTATTTCAATTCTTTGTCACATGTAATTTTAATAGTTACGGTAAAATGTGTGTTTTGTTTATTATCACAGATAGACAAAAATTGCTAAATATAATTTAATTGAAATAAACAAAATAATTCAGTCACAAACTAAAACCGAAATTAACAAAACCATTTAAAAACATAATAAAAGTACTATTCATACAAAACAAATGCGCGTTTGCCATCAAAACTACCAAAAATGCACAAAAATAAACCTCAACATCTAAGTATTGGAGCTAAAACAGAAGCAGTTGAAAAAAGCATCTTGTATATTATTAGAAGTTTGATTTCTAGTACAATATCATCAAGGCCCACGGTCCACAATGCTCACCTGAGAAAAACAGGCCCAGCTGTTGAAGCCAATTCTCCTCTTTATCTTGGTATATGTAAAACTGTGTCTCCTATTGTAGCCCACCCTACCCTTGGGGGTTATGAACTCAACAAACCCAAATCATCACTACCTGAGATTGCTATACATGTAAATAAAACTACTCATGGCTTTGTCGTTTTTGAGAAGAAGTTTGATTTTTTTCTTATATATTCCTTTGTAAACCTTTGTTTGTTAATTGTGGCACCATCATATTTGAAGAAAGTGATATTGTGAAAAGTTAAAACAATGATGACTGACAACATATTCTGATCAGAAAAGCTCACTTGAGCCTTTGGTTCATGTGAGCTAAATTATTAATCATTTACAAATAATTACACCAAACATGTATAACCATACATTTACATAATTTATAGAGGACAAGCAGGAATTGAAATCAGGTATTTTCCTGTATTTTAATGAACCCTCAGTTTCTCATGGTATTCCTTTCTATTTATCTTTCATTTCCCATACATTTCATTCAAAGACCATGCACGGCTGCATGCAGGTCGACTTTAAAAAAAGGGGGGTTATAATTACCTATAAAATAATGACGATGATCATATTTACCTACTATTAAGTCAATTCTTTCATGAAACATACCATTAAATGAATGCATGTAAATTAGAATCTTAAAGATTTTTGATTTAATCAAGATTGTTACAAGTATTGTTTCTACAATACATGTACACTGTACTTATTCTTACCTGGCCTTCAAACCTCTGGTAAAAAAATGTTTAATAAAGATGTTTGTGATAAAATTCATTCCCTGCAGCTTCATAAATAAAAATCTTCAACAAGTTAACCGAAAAAAAAAAAATTCTGGAAAAAATATCGTCGGATAATTTCATAGTCTTTGTGACTATACATGTATATGTGGACATATTTAACATTGGTATCATTATCATATCAAACATCTTCAAAATACAGTTTTTGTAAATTGCAAAAATATAAATATAAACATAATCATTTATTTCAGATACATCAACCATTTGTACAATTAATTGCTTGTACCAAATCTAGCTAGCTCAAACCAGAATACTTTGGTTGATTGAACCAAAAAAAATGGCTGCTTGAAACAAAAAAATCTAGCTCACGCCAGACCAATGTTAATACTGATAAGCAATCAATAAAGTGATAAACTTAATATTCACTACCTAGGCTGCTGTTTATTTTTCATACACTCTCTTTGCAAAAATTGTTGGAAAAACAGCAGATCTAAAAAGTGTACATGTAGTAGACATAATAAACAGAAATGAATAAGAATGTGGGATCTTCACAATATTGGTTTTCTAAAATATATCCTAATCTCAACAGTGTTATCAAATCATTATGTTTCTTAAAGAGAAATAAATAAGAATTTGGGATCTCCATAATATTAGTTTTTTTTCCCTAAAAATTAAATCCATTTCAACAATTATTCAAGTAAATGAATCTCGTGATTCAATTAATTCAGAAATTGATGAAAATCAAATAAAAAATTAAATTACTATTAATAAATAATTAGAATTAGTAATCATCTTCCGAGTTGTGGAGGTCGTGATGAGTCCCTCTACGATTAGTCAGTTGCAGGCCTTCCTGGTAGGCTCGCTGGAGCTTGAGTAATGTGTGTGCCATTCGGTCGGCATCCTGTCCACCACCAAACTGTTGTCGTAATCGACGAAGCTCATTTTTCTCATGATCCTCTTCCTGAACTTTCTGCTTGCGGAGTTCAGCTCGGCGTTTTCTTTCTTGATCCTGAAATTTTTTTTTTCAAGACTGATATTACTACATTAAAATTTAAAGAAAGCATTCCATTCAATTAAGCAAACTTTGAAAATTGAAATATAAAACTTTGCCCAGATGTAATTTACAAGAGGGCAAAGAGTCATGACATTTTATTGGGTACCAGTCTGTATACTTACTCCAAAATAAATTGCATTAATTTTTCATACAATTTTTAAGCCATTTTTTCAATTGTCTGATAATGATCAGAGGCATATGACAGATATGACTAATTGAATGGGAATGCTCACTCCTTCATGGCACTTGATCCAACCTCTGATGTTTTTTGAGGTCCGAATAATGCTTTGCTAGACTTTTGAGCTTGATTATTGTTTGTTATCTTTATATTCCATGAATTATTGTAAATGTTTTATATTTAGTGTGTACCAAATTTTGCGGATATTGATTTTTTGCTCTGCTCACCTGAGCTGAAGGCTCAAGTGAGGTTTTCTGATCAAAATTTGTCCGTTGTCTGTTGTCATTGTTGTTGTTGTCGTTAACTTTTCACATTTTCATCTTCTCCTCAAGAACCACTGGGCCACTCATTTCAACCAAACTTGCTATGAAGTATCATTAGGTGAAGAGAATTCAAGTTGATTAAAATGAAGGGCCACACCCTCTTCCAAGGGGAGATAATTATAAATTAGTGAAAAATAATGGCATATTTTAAAAATCTTCTTCTCAAGAACCAGTGGGCCAGGAAAGATGAAACTTATTTGGAAGCATCCGCATGTAGTGTAGATTCACGTTTGTTCAAACCATGACCCCGGGGGTAGAGTGGGGCCATAATGGGGTATCAAAGTTTATCATAGGAATACATTGGAAGAATCTTTAAAATCTTCTTCTCAAGACTCAGTGGGTCAGGAAAGATGAAACTTATGTGAAAGCATCCTCATGTAGTGAAGATTCAAGTTTGTTCATATCATGACCCCCAGGGGTAGGGTGGTGCCACAATGGGGTATCAAAATTTAACATAGGAATACATTGGAAAAATCATTAAAAATTTTCTTCTCAAGACTTAGTGGGTATCCTCATGTAGTGAAGATTTTTTTACCCCCGGGGGTGGAGTGGGGCCACATTGGGTATCAAAGTTTAACATAGGAATACATTGGAAAATTTTTTTTAATAATCTTTTTCTCAAAGACAGCAAAGCCATGATTGATCATAGTTATTTGGAAGCATCCTCTAAATGTGTATATTCAAGTTTGTTCAAATCAGGCCCCTCGGGGGTAGGGGGCATAATGGGGTATCAATTTAGTTTAACATAGGATTACATAGGAAAATTATTTAAAAAATCTTCTTCTGAAGAATAGCAAAGCCATCACTGGTCATAGTGATATGGAAGCATCCTCTGGTAGGGAAGATTCAAGTTCAAAGCATGATCCCTGGGTGTAGGGTGGGGCCATTATGGATGATGAGAACAGCAAAGTTGTGATTGGTCATAGTTATATGGAAGCATCCTTGGGTAGTGTAGATTCAAGTTTGTTCAAATCATGACCCCCAGGGGTAGAGAGGGCCAGAATGATGTATCAGAGTTTTACATATGAATACTTTGGAAAAATTTTTAAAATTTCTTCACAATGCCACGATTGGTCATCAATATAAAAGCATCATTAAAGTGGATCATAACAATAAACGACAAAGCTATTGTGTGTCATATTAATTCAAAAGCATTCATAGGAAGTGTAGATTTAAGTTTGTTCAAATACTGTATACAGGGAAATTTTCGCTTCCGTTTTATTTTCGCCCCTTTCGCCCTATCCTTGTTTGGGCGAATTTAAAACTGGGCGAATTCAAAGAATACAGTATAATTTCTTCAAGGAAACTATAACTGGGCGAATTTAAAATGGGACAAAATTGTCTGCAAGTGTGAAAGGGCGAAAAAAACACGGGGCGAAAATAACCCTGTATACAGTACCCCACCCTCTCCTCCCTCGAACTCTATTTTATGATATATTTAAACTGAATTATTTTTTGCTTTTACCTAGTTGGTTGCTCAGGTGAGCGATGTGGCTCCTGGGCCTCTTGTTGAACAAATTAGCAAAGATCTGATTTAGTGCATTTCTCAGTGTTCTTATTTATGTATACATAGGGAAGACATTCAGTGTTGTACTAGAATTAGAGAATTAGTTTCTCTCCGCCAAAAGTGCTAAATAGAATACATAGTCAAATGATATACGGTATGTTAACAGTAATTTTAATTTTAGTCCCCCATTATTTGAACGATTTATCATGCAGCATTGAGATGCTTACAATATTACAAAAAATAATTTTTTTTCAAATCAATTTCCATGTAAACTTTGGACTACAGCCATCACTAATTATAACCCCCCCCCCCCCCCCCGCTTGAAAAGCGGGAGGGTAATAGTAATCAGTTAATTGGTCCGTCCGTCCGTCTGTCTGTCTAGCTGTACGTCCTTCTGTCTGTTACGCTTTGGGGTACCCATCTCTTATCTGCAACTCCTCTCATACCACTGAATGAAAGTTGATGAAACTTTCACAGAATCTTTATTACATATTGCCAATGTGCACTTCCTATTTTACTTTTTGATCGGACACATATTTTGGGTTTCCCACAACAAAACAGGGACACTCCTATTATATTCAAATGGGAGGCGGGGGGTATCATTAAGTGAGCTCATGCTCACAGTACCTCTAATTTTGTCTTAACTCCAAGGGCATTATTAACCCCAAATGTGAACCATTTGCATGACCAAAATATCATTTTTGTGACTTCAAGAAAATGGCATTTAAAATGCATTTAGTTTACTATATACACATATAATCCATTTGAATTAAATTGTCAGATATGCATGAATATATAAAATTATAAAAGTTTGCTTAAATTGTATTTATCATGTAATATAAAACAGACCTTTATGGCAATATCATTTGGATCATTGATGTTGATGATGGGTTCCGTCTTTAAACTATGCATGGAGGTCTCACTGAACAAGGAGGGAGTGGGTGATACCCCGGCTTTGGCATAAATCTCAGCAAGTCTGTGTCAAGTAGATCAAAACAAAATATCAGCTAATCTCAAACAAAATATCAGCTTGTCTGTAGCAAAAAAAAAGAACTAAACATCAGCTAGTCATGATCAGTAGCAAATGGATGAAGCAATATTTTAGGTAGTGTGTATCAAATAGATCAAGTGATATCTAAACTAGTCTGTATCAAATAAATCAAGCGATATCTCAGCTAGTCTGTATCAAAAAGATCAAGCGATATCTCAACTTGTCTGTATAAAAAAGATCAAGGGATATCTCAAGCGACATCTCAACTAGTCTGTATAAAAAAGATCAAGCAATATCTCAGCTAGTCTGTATCAAAAAGATCAAGCTATATCTCAGCTAGTCTGTATCAAATAGATCAAACAATATCTCAACTAGTCTGTATAAAAAAGATCAAGCGACATCTCAACTAGTCTGTATCAAAAAGATCAAGCGATATCTCAGCTAGCCTGTATCTAAAAGATCAAACAGAGTCCACACAATATCTCAACTAGTCTGTATCAAACAGATCAAACAATAATTCTCAGCTTGTCTGTATCAAATAGATCAAACAATATCTCAACTAGTCTGTATCAAATAAATCAAGTGATATCTCAGCTAGTCTGTATAAAAAAGATCAAGCGATATCTCAGCCAGTCTGTTTAAAAAAGATCAAGCGATATCTCAGCTAGTCTGTATCAAATAGATCAAACAATATCTCAACTAGTCTGTATCAAATAGATCAAACAATATCCCAGTTAGTCTGTATCAAATAGATCAAACAATATCTCAGCTAATCTGTATTAAATAGATCAAAGAACAAAGGAAAATAAACACTACACTCACTTCTCATTCCTCTCCTTCCTCCGTTTTTTGACCTCGTCCCAGCTGGGGAACATGTAGTTATTTTTGATTGGGGGAGTTTTGCTGGGAGGTTTCAGGGGTTTGACCTCTGTGTACTTAACCATAGCACCATGTCCTGGGGTACAGTGGAAATACCGCTTACCCTTATATAAACCATTGTGCACAGAATTCACTGAAACAGAGGGAGAAAAATTCAAGTTTGTGAAAATTTGAATGCAAAAGTCAGACTTCAATGTATGTAAACATTGACAATACAAAATATATCTTATGTAAGAAAAATTGTGAATATGTGTGAATATGACTTTAATTATATAATCTTCTCCATTTACATAATTGCACCAATATGATAATTAATACTGATAAACATTCAATTTAATAATTAAATCTCTTCTTGAATTAAATTTTAATTTCAACAAGAAATTTTCAAATTACATACACAATGGACCTTCAGATATCCAGACGCTTCAGTATCCAGACGATTTTTCATAGGAACAAAATTCTAATTGTTATTTTGTCTTGTTTAATTAACTGGTAATTCAGGTATTCAGACACTTCACATATCCGGAGAAATTGACTAGGAACCAAAGCGTCCGGATAAATGAGGCTCCACTGTCAATAGCTAGGTTGCATCAGCTTCGCAGTTCAAACTGCTTCTCTTAATTAATTCAATCACCATTATTTCTTTTTTTAAAAATATTTTTAAATAACAACATACCATTTTCATCCAACTTGACTCCCACATATAGGTTTGGGGCGATGGCATTGTCATCAATAACCCCAACAAACTTTACTGTACCTGCAAAGTCAAGAAAAAAAATTATAAGAATTAATGAGTGAACTTTTGCAATTTCTCTTATCAAAAGTGAATCCAAAATATTTTACAAGTGATAGAAACAACAATAAACATCAAAATATAGTTCTATTAGGAGTAACAGAGTATTTATATAATAAAAGAAAGTTGCCTTGGAGTCAACTGAATCAAAATTGAAGTAAGTGACAATACATTAGTGTTACCATCCAACAATTTGACAAGATACTTTAATGGAATTGGTTTTGAGGTCAACATTTAAATAAGAGGCAGGTCTATGCATGCATCTATCAGCATCATGATGCCAATATCTTAATCTTTCTTTCTAGAAACTTGAGTATGTATGTATCAGGTATTAATGTTTTAATAATATCATTGTAGTCTCATCTCGGATCCTAGCTTTTATGTGACATTTTTTAAAATATACGTGTACAACTACATTTTTTTGCAGAACAATCGACAGTCAAAAAGCATGCACTTTATATGAAAACACTGAAAAAAGTATTACCCTGATTATTTGTTGTTGGCATGCCTTAGATTTTTATGCCCTATAATCAAACATTCGGGGGTCGGTATATAGTTTTTGCCCTGTATGTCTGCCTGTTTGTCTTCAAAAACTTGTCCATTTATATTTACATTTCCAATGTCTTTGTTCGAAATAAAATTACAAATAGTTACCGGTAATATTTATTTCTCCATCAATGTACTGGTTCATCGATATATAGGCGCGTTTAAAAAAAAATCACATGCAGCGCGGGACAATTAGAGAAAAGAAGTGGGGCTTCTAGCACGTGGATTGATGGAGTCAATAGCATGTAAATATAAGGAATAACTGTCAGATTTTTCAATTTCATGACAATGATCAATCGATTGGCTTGTGTGATAATTTTATGCATAAACGCCTTCAGCGTTTTTGCAAATTATCACGCAAGCCAATCGATTGATCACATCATGAAATCAAAAAATAAGACAGAAACTCACAATTATTCCATGTATCGAGAAGGACGTTTAAATACCCACAATGGATAAAGAGTTATGTCTAAATATAGACACAGCTACCTTGTATTATACATAATACATTTTGTGAAAGTCCACTACATATGTAACTGTGATTTTTGCCTGTATATGGTAGCATTAAATAGTCATTTATTTTCAGCAAAGCCAATTAATTTTCACAAAATTATTGATCTCATAGACATATGGTTACATGTATACAGTAAAACTTGGTTATACGAAGTCACTGGGACCTGTGAAACTACTTCGCTATATCTGTTATTCTTTATATCCGCATATGGAATTCATTAAATTAATATAGCTGGGGATCCAAGATATCTTCGCTATATATAATATCCATAAATTCGCAATATCCGTGTTAATACTATCTGAGTTAATTTTGCTGTATTTCTTAAAATTCATTTTTTCACTCTTTATGTTTAAATTAAAGTAAACAAAAGTTATACATCATTTAAACAAATGTTAAAGTACCAAGCCTTCATATAACTTTGTCTGGGTCTAATATAAATACAATCATAATTTATACAGGATAAGAAACTTCAATTGCTGCCTGAGTTGTAATGGAGGGATCAGAAGTTTTCAGATTTCAATGTTTCATTAATTTCACCTATGTCTCCTGTTACAAAATAAGGCTACTTTATTACCTGGTTAGAGGCATGGCATGTCAAGCAATTCATGTTTAAATTAGAATACTTTAAAACTCTAATCTTTAAATCAAACAAGTTTGATTGGAAATCAGTAACTTTTAAAATGCTTGAGATTGTGTCCCTAGGAAGGCCAAAATAGGAGTGCACAAAATGTTGTTCTGTAGATACATTACTAGTAGTCTGTCTAAAATACACACTATAAATACTGCACAATTGGCAACTTTGTACTATTGAGCTACTATAAATACAGTGAATCATCAAACACTACTAAAAAACAAATTAAAACATCAAGAGACATGAAAAGATAGAATCAAGAAATCATGAACATACATGTATATGATGAAGTTTTTCTCTTCAAGTTTAGAACTTCATACAGACATATAAATAGGACTCATTCATATGAGAAAATTTTTAACATTTTTATCTTGAAGCCAAAAGAAACCACACATTACCCCATAATTTAAAAATAGAGCATCATATACAATGCATTAAAAAAAAATATATATGTATTGAATCTCTGCATTTTCATTGCTATTAAGTTTTTATATAACAAAACATGTGTACCCATAACCCACCTGACCCGGGCAAAGGAAACACAGACCCTTCATAAATGGATAAGGGGAATTATATGTATATATAGAAGAAGGAAAGTGGACCGTGCATGAAAAGTCTCCCACCAGTGGAAGAGGTGATATACATGCATCAGATGACTTGGCTACAGACTGTATAACAGTATGTCTTATTTTCATTTAACCTTTATCAACATCATTGATTGAATAACCTATTGATGTACTTTATAATATTCATCTCTTAAAAATGATCATACACACTCAAGTTTACTGAGAATCAAGCCCAAAAAATAATATTTAAGGATAAAATTATAAATATGTTAAAGATTAAAAAAAAACAACATCTATGAAAACGTCCGAGATTGATAAACAAACAAGACTACAATAATAATAGCGGTGCTTTCCTACAGAAATCCTACTCCTTACTCACTTACCCGAAGTTTTTTTACAGACCTCTGATTCAGCATAGATTTTACAGAGGTCAACAGCTAAAAAGATAGTGGCACATTCATGACAATTGTTCTTTATAATGTATTAAGTGTGCTAGTAATTCAAAGACCATGTAATAAGTAATTATGACAATTCATCATACAAGTTATACATATAACAATAACTTTGGTGCAAGTCTTATATTATATGTGGAGGTAATGCAAAATGTAAAGTGTGATTATATTATTTTTATTTTACACAGTACACAAAAAGGTGACTGTTATTAATCATGTTCAGGTTTCTGAAACACCAATGTAATTCACTAGCTTAACCCTGGAAATTATTTTTTCAAACAGTCAAGATTATTTGCACAACAGTGAAGTTATTATTTGTGCCATTTACAATGTACCTGCTGTAGCAAGATGTCCATGTACTAGAATGTCACGTCATGCAGTCAATGTTAAAAATAATTACACTAATCAAGTCAAAAGAATTTTCTTATGAAATACTTTGAATTTCCTTTTGAAATATGAAATACATGCTTGTATAATGCTGAGTCATTGCTTTGACAACAACGTAAATCATGAATTTACTTACCAGGATATTTGCCGTAGACTTCCACCCTGTCTCCCACTTTTACAATGCTAGATTTTGAGGACACAGGTGCTGTGTTCTGTGCTCTGCTTAATGAGGATTCACGAAGCAAGTCTGAGGCATCATTGAAATTGTCCTTCCAAAATTTCTTACAAGGCCCACAAGTACACATAAATGGATCTACATCAGACTGAAAAAGAAAGGTGAAATGTCAATTAGATTACCAAAAAAAGGGGAAAATAGTTCAAAATAAAAAAAAATTCTTAATTCAAGGAAAAACAAACATGACAAATACATGAAAAAATGATCAAATGCCTCATTGGTAAAACAATGTCATACTTACTAAACGATATCTTGGAATAAGAGCCATTTAATTTAATTCATTATAAAGAAAAAGTCACATAGAATTAACATTTCCAAAACAAAATTAACCACTCCAAGTTTTTTGTCAGTAAAAATTATAATTCATGTGAATACATCAATTGCAATGTCCATCCTCAGCGAAAGCTAAATTTTAAAGAATATAGATTTACTGGTTGCTATGTTTCAGTTTGTGAAATTATTTCCCCCAAGAACAGAGACTCTCTTTATAACTGTAGTATGTTTCATCAAGTTATAAACAAGTAGCTTATTCAGTTATTGTGACAAAGGTAAAGAAACCAAGTTCCAGCTTTAATATCGTTTAAATCAACAAACAAAGCAGTTTACTGTTAAAAATGAGGAATTATGTAGTTCAGATAATTCAACCATGACTAAACATCATGCAAAGCAAAAGTGGTATTTAAATCAAGGCTGTTCTTCATCATATTTCTGATCCAATGAATAAATAAATCTTAAACTAAAATAAAGAGAGCCTGGTGGGTAAAACATTTACCTTGTGATCGTGGACAGACATATTTACTCAAAACTACATTAATAAAGACGAGACACAATGGGGGAAAGTAAAATGGATCACATAATTTTTATCTCATTGCGTCCTGGTTGTTAGGCACCATAGCACCTGCTGCACTTCCGGTTGATATCCCCTATAACCCGTAAAAATAATGATGTTAAATATATTACAGATATTTCTTTAACTTTGGCAAGTCTTATTCTTTTTCCAGCCATAAAATTCGTTAATCAAAAAATATTTTACGATCTGCGTATCTTATGCTTGCTATCATATTTATTTTCGACATTCTTATGCTCATTGATCTATGGGACTAGAATGGCTAGGAAAATATTGAACGCGAATGAGTTTTAGGAACTTCTACGGCACTGCTAAACGATCTCTACGCGGTCATAGGCGAAAAAGGTCAGTGTTGTCTTTGAGTTGAAAAAATATTTATATGGCCAAACTTTTTCCTGCCAATGTGCGGACGAGTTTAGGAATTTGTGACCCTGAGTCATATTGGTAATTTTATTTTTGGAGAAGTATATGATGTATCATGTGATTGATCCAAGTTCCTGATATTTCTCCCAAATAATGTTTTTCCAACAATTCCTTTGACGGATTATCCATAGAGAACTTGTCAGCAATTAAATCCCCATTTGATTTTAGACAACATTCAAGTGATGATGACACAGCTGATGAAGATGAGACGTGTATGGATGATATGCCACTAATGTATAGTAATGAAGTAAGTTTCAAAATGGATGAGAGTGACTCTCTCGTCAACAGACGAAGAAACAGAGGTTTTAATCAGTCCAAGATAGGATACTACATCAATGAAGGATGGGCTCGGTCATGTGGAAGGTAATATTTCACATTGAAAAATTTGAAGTTCAAAAGTGTATGTTATTGTTTCTATTTCTTTCATAGAAGGAGACCCTTGAAAACATTATTATTATAATGCATCAATTTAAGGTAGGTTGCGGGTTTGCTTTTGTCATCAATTTTGGTACACAATTTCGACGATTCGAGTGGTTGTTTTGTGCACATTTGATTATGACGTCAGTTACGTCACAAAGGCAACGTTGTGTTGTTTCCCATTTAAATTCTCTGCAGATCACTTCAAGTCTGTACGATTCAAGTAAATTAATTAATTAATCAAGTAGATTAATTAATACAAAGTGCATGCTATTGTACGTAAACCTCATACATGTTTTATAATTAAATTTCAGTTTGAATTCTGTTGTGGTTATGTGTAATGTCTGAGGACAAATTAAATACAGTACCAAATGAAAGGAGTAATTTATACTGTAAGTGTTACTAAAATGCTAACAGTCTATCAGAATAACCCAGCGTAAAAGTTATGGTATGCAAAAATAAAGTTATTATAAATAAAATTGCCTTGCGGAAAGCTTGAGGGGTTGTATGTGTTTACGTTATTTGTAACTCATAGGGAACATGCATATTGCATCATGACTGCCAATCAAAGGGCGAAAATATGCGTATATTTTTCAGGATGGAATTAATCCATAACACTAAAACGGATAATTTTAATTACATGTATTTTACTGTTTCTATTTTATTATCATCATCATTATTATTAATATTATTTGGTTATTGTGTATTTAAATCTCGTAAAGTCGCCTTTTTTCTGGCTAACAAATAGTGAAATGCATTTTGAAAACCAAACTTATTGAAAGACTTATATGACACTGTAAACAATTTACAAGTATCAATTTTTTCCCTATATTTTGTATCAAAAGCTCTAAGTGTAAAAGCTAAATGCAAGTGTTTTACATTTTGCGTATGGAAACTTAATTCAGAGAATTCGAAATTAAATATTTGAGAGGTAAGGCCATCTACTAGCTTGCGACTAATATAGAAGGAACATTGTAGGTACCCCCCCCCCCGCAAATTTCTCTACCGTTTCTTTACCGTTTTCGAATAAAGAGATCAAACTTATATGGTATGCCTAAATTACCATTGACCATGCATGAATTTCATAAAAAACAGGAACTAATATTTTATCACTCGCGGTGTTGTCGCTGCATGTTAATTCTCATGCACGAGGAATGTTTATACCGTTCATTCTGACTCTGTGATCATAATATGAATTTCAATACTAGTAAAAATAAGTTGCTGGTCATCCAAATATATCTTCGAAATAAGTTAAATGATGAATAAAATTAAATTTTGCGTCTATGACATCTTTTAGATCTTGCATATTCCAAATGTCAAAATATTTATATAGGTACTGTGAACGTTACTACGTTCAACAAATGACGTTGTAGACATAAATAACGCCATAAACGCAACATTTTAGCAATATAAAAGGAAACTTTGAAATTATTTAGTGAAAAATCTAGCGAGAAGACATATTGATTTTTTTAAATCAATAGTTTTGATTTTACCTCATCTTGACATTTTGAATTTCCTGACAAATTCGTCTACGTCTTTGAAAAGTTGTCCAACGTTTTAAAAATAAACTATTTTCACAAAATTGGCGTAAAAACGTCATTTTCCACATGTTCCATATATTTCAATAGTAAAGCGTAAAAAATGTACTAATAACGATACCGTGTTTATACTTTATAGTAATATGGCGTTAAAACTACGTAGGCAAATTTTATAAAAATTGCAGATAATACGCTGTAAATTCTCAGGAACGTTATATCAAATTTTTAGGATATGTTTTCTCGTAAGAATTTTTATGCAGTAAACCCACGACCTACCTTAATGATGTTAATTTGTGTTTGGGTAGATGTTGGGACTATTATTAATATGTTGACGGTGCGACCGTTAGGGCGAGCGCAGAAACTTATCCTGTTTTCATTTAGATCGAGATCGTCAAACCGCACATGACATTCAGCGAGTCTAAGACTTTGACGTCATATGACGTCGTATGCATGTTGCATTATCAAACCAAAGCCTGAACAGGGCTGACTTTAAATGAAGAACCGTTTCATTGACTATTTTTCTGCAACAAAGTCATTAAATCAAGGCAAGTCTATTTTTCTTTTAACTTTAGCGTTTGTTTACGAAGTGATGCATTGTGGGTCAAAATTACTGCGGAAAGAAATTCTATGGAATGAGTGTGCAGTAGTCCGATTTTCTCTTCAGACAGGCATTGTCGTTAGAGCTCGCAGTAACGAGCATCACTTTGCGATGATCGCTGCGCTCGCTACAATGCATCAGTTTCATGATAATGTTTGTGTCTGGTTAGATGTTGGGAGAGGCTGTGCAATAGGAGGAAGGAGTATCATGCAAGGACTGTACCTATAGGACTTCAAAGATCATCGGAGGAGAAATATCCAAAGAATGTCATTCGCAATCAGAAATACAGTGTCATTACATTCATACCAAAGGTAGGTAGATGTTAGACCTTTTGATAATGTTCATCTCTTGTATATCTATTGAGCACATTTTAAACAAATAAACAGCTGTAGTGATCTGCCTGTTGAGTTATGAACCATAGATGTTGGCCTGGGTAGCTTAGTGATTAGAATGTTTGACCATTGAAGTAGGTGTCCCTGGTTTGATTTAAGTCCAGGCATTATTTTCTCCTTTTCTTTTACATTTTTGTCACATACCTTTCACCTGAAAATGTGGTGGTTTGGGTTGTCTGAAGGAGGATATTTGCAATGGAGGTATCCCAGATTCCCATTTCAGCTATAATTTTCTTTTTTTCTATTATTAATTTACTTTCATTATACTGGTAGTCAATTTAGAAATAAATGTTTTGTTCAGTTCTGTATATCAACTCATTACTGTACATTTATACTAAGGTAAGGCTGCCTTAGTAGGCAGGTACACAATATCATTATAATTATTCCAAAGGTAGGATGGGTACAACTTCCTGAATTTCCCTGATGTTTTATGATTTGCTGTTGTTTGTTTATTTAGGTTGTAAATTATCCTGATAATATCCTGCATAAGGATATATACCTGTACTTCTCTATACTTGTGAAATAAATCAAGACAATGTTTAATCTTACAAAATTTTTCTTTTTAGATAATGTACTGTAAATGAATTATTTGTCATTTTTAGGTTCTATTTGAACAGTTCAAGTTCTTCCTAAATCTGTACTTTCTGGTGATGGCATTGTCCCAGTTTATACCTGAGATAAGAATTGGCTACCTGTACACATACTGGGGACCTCTGGTGAGTACCCCACCCACACACACAGTCCACTTTTAATAGTGAGAAGAACCACACAATCAGTAAGCTACCTCTATACAAACTGGTGACCTGGTAAATACCAAACACACTCTCTCGCAGTTAACTTATAATAGAAATTTTTGAAAAGTTCTAGACAAACAGTAAGCTACATCTACTCAAACTGGGGACCTCTGATAAATACCAAACACACAGCTAACACATCTAATGGGGGACCTCTGGTAAATACCAAACACACACAGTCAACACAAACTGGGGACCTCTGGTAAATACCTTACAAACAGTCAATAAAAACTTGGGATCTCTGGTAAATACCAAACACACACAGTCAACACAAACCACGCCTGCTAATCGATCACTTGCACAACCAGCAGTTGTGTATAACAATCAAAAGAGATCGATTTCCGGTTGTGCAGTTGATGCGAATAATTCCAGTGCACAGGTAGTAAATGGACTCGATTCAGACAATAATTGATATTTTTATTAAAATATAAGAATGTGATTCCATGAGCAATTCATTTTTCTTTAATTTTACCCTCTGATAAAATGCAGAGATTGTCGATTAGCGACTATATTTGTTTTGAAGCAAGGGCTGGTAGAGCGAAAACGCTGATTGAAAACAGTATTCGCCGACTAAAATTCGTTTTAATCTCAACTAACCTTAAAAATTCAATGTCCACCATAAGTATGCAACAAGTGCATCCTGTCCACCAAAACTGGGACTTCGATATTGTATAATTTGACAAATATTCGAAGAAAAAAACATTGCTTGTGCATGCGATCATTCAGTTGTGAAAGAGATCTCGGGTTATGCATGAGATAAAGGATAAAAAGTTACGCAAGTATTATACAATCTCCATAATTCACCTCTTATACTATTTTATTTTTGGTAATTATAAAATGTTAAATATTGTCTATAATATGAAGGCGTTGCAGGGGCAGATCCAGCAATTTTTGAAAAAAAAAAAGGGGGGGGGGTTGTCCAGGTGTCCAACACTCATGCATATAGGCACTTTAAACCTGGCAACACTGAGTTTTCAACAGTTCTATGGGGGACTTTGACAAGCCAATAACAAACAAACAAAACAAAAACACAAACAAGCAAGCAGGGCTCGGATTGTATGTGACGGTACTCGGAGGAAAGCATATTAAACGAGGGAACTCTATTTATAGCGATCAGAAAGGACAGAGATTGAACAACATGTACAGTGTATTTATTTTATTCGAAATATTTTTTTTATTCAAAGTATTTATTTTATTCAAAATATTAGACGTAATGAAATATCCGTGGTACATAACTCTCTCTCTAATCAAATAGAGGGGGGGGGGGTCCAACCCCAGGAACCACCTTCTAGATCCGCCAATGATGTACAGTCATTTTTTGCAAGCACATTTTGCAGCAGCAGCCGATCTCTTATATCGGGAAATGAGGCGTTATTTTTCAAAAGTTCTGTTAACTAATCTTAATTTTAAAAACTTTCTTTAAACTGAGCATTTATTGTTGTTGTTACAATTTCATTGTCATTTCTAATTGGGTAATTAATAATATATGGTTATATAGAAAGAGTTTACAATAGGTACTCCCCAACCAGGGAGTAATCAAGATATGAAAGGAAATCGTCATAATTTTCCAGATAATAATGAAGTGGTTAAAGTTGCAAGGTGAATAAAAATTGAAAAAGTTTTTCAACAACACTGTAGTAAAAATTGTTTTGAATGTGCAACAGATGTGACAACAAATATTTTTCTTACATTTTTTCCATCAAACTACGCGCCTTGATTAGCCTACTGCAGAAACCATGGGTATTATCACGTGATAAAGATCCAGGGTTTCGGCATGTGGTTCATCTTGAGAGACCTACATCTTCATTCATACGTTCTTATAATTCATCATTGACTTTTTTATTGATTCATTGATGACTCCATTTGATGAACAAATGCACTAAAATTTCTATTTAATTAAAAAAAAACATTTTATTTATTTTTGCTTTGAAGACAGTCTGAAATGAAATTGATCTATTTCAGCTTTGAATATTGTGTGCTTCCCATGCATTGATGCTTTTCAAATAAAGAAAGTACAAGTAACTTTTGAAATTATAAATTTTGCGGCTGATTTGATGCTTTGCATTAATTTTATTTGGAATGTTTAATAGGGATATTTTTTATTGAACGATTATTTTGGATTTTTGACGATTTTTCCCCTATGGTATACATGATGAATAATGTAATAAATATAATTTGTGAGAAAAAAGTGTCCAACAAGTCCGGGGGGGGGGGGTCCTGTCCAGAAGCACCTGTAATGTGGTGTTGTCATCTTGATCCTTTCCATCTCGATAATAAAATTCAGGATACCTAGCTTCAAAACACCAGGAAATATTTACCCCTTGGCAAACACATATCATCGAGAGCCTGCCTCTTATTTTTTTCACAGACAGCACTTTTACTATAAAATATATATGAAATGAAAGCATGAAAAATTCGGTCTTTCCCTCCACTTTTGTTGAAGTACCGTCAAATAAAGGTAAGGTATGTTTGAGTTAAACAATTTCGTACTGAAAGAAAATGATATACTGCCCAGTATATGCTGGATTTTTTTTTAATTTTATTTTATCTCTTTTTTTTATTATTAATTATTATTTTTTTTTTGCATACGAAATAGTCATATTAAAGATGCATTGGATAATTCACACAAGATTTATTATTTAAATAATACACACATAATTTTTTACTGTAATTATATTGATTGTAACTGAAACTTTAACCCCCTCCCCTAACAGATCTACTTCAACAGTTTACTTATCTTATATATCTTTTTTTCTCACAAATTCAACTTATTTGCAAGAAAATTCTATAGTTTTATGTTTTAAATTTTGCAAGACTGCGTTATAATTATATAATGTTTAATTTTATTCGTAAAGTTTGAAACTTTTTGTCCTTCATCTCATGCATAACCCGAGATCTCTTTCACAACTGAATGATCGCATGCACAAGCAATGTTTTTTTCTTCGAATATTTGTCAAATTATACACATATCGAAGTCCCAGTTTTGGTGGATAGGATGCACTTGTTGCATACTCATGGTGGACATTGAATTTTTAAGGTTAGTTGAGATTAAAATGAATTTTAGTCGGCGAATACTGTTTTCAATCAGCGTTTTCGCTCTACCAGCCCTTGCTTCAAAACAAATATAGTCGCTAATCGACAATTACTGCATTTTATGAGAGTGTAAAATTAAAGAAAAATAAATTGCTCATGGAATCACATTCTTATATTTTAATAAAAATGTCAATTATTGCCTGAATCGAGTCCATTTACTACCTGTGCACTGGTATTATTCGCATCAACTGCACAACCGGAAATCGATCTCTTTTGATTGTTATACACAACTGCTGGTTGTGCAAGTGATCGATTAGCAGGCGTGCAAACTGGGGAACTCTGGTAAATACCAAACACAGACAGTCAACACAAACCGTGAACCTCTGGTGAATGCCAAACGCACACAGTCAACACAAACCGTGGGCCTCTGGTGAATGCCAAACACACACAGTCAACATAAACTGTCGACCTCTGATAAATACCAAACACACACAGTCAACACAAACTGGAGACCTCTGGTAAATACCAAACACACACAGGTAACACAAACTGGGGACCTCTGGTAAATACCAAACACACAGTCAACACAAACTGGGGACCTCTGGTAAATACCAAACACACACAGTCAACACAAACTGGGGACCTCTGGTAAATACCAAACACACACAGTCAATACAAACTGGGGACCTCTGGTAAATACCAAACACACACAGGTTACACAAACTGAGGATCTCTTGTCTGCAAAAACTTTAACCTTGCACATAATTTTTGAGTTGATGGGGCTTTTTCTTTCATATTTCACAAGTGTTAATATTCCTTGTGACAAGACATTTCTTTGGGTACCACCAAATATGACTTTTTGACCCACTTTAACAAAAAATTCTCACACTTTAACCTTGGTCATAACTTTTGAACTGTTGGTGCTAGGGATTTCACACTTCACCTGTGTATTCATTATGACAAGACCTTTCAGTGGGTGTATGGAAATATTTTTTGGCCTTTGGCCTTGACCTTAGAGTTTGACCCACTTTTTAAAAAAATTATCCTTTGCCACATTTTTTGAACAGTTAGAACTAGGGCTTTCCTATTTCACAGATTATTCCTTGTGATAAGACTTTCTCATGGGTACCAACAATTTGACCTTGACCTTCGGAGTTTGACATGCAATTGAAAAAATTCAACATTACCTTTAACTGTGAATTAAATTGTAAAGTGACTTAAATTAAAACAAATATGCTTGTTATTAAAGTGCAGAATTGTAGCATTGTTCCTAATTTTTGCAAGAAAATGATCAATGTTTTCAAATTCTTTAAATAAAAATACATGTAGTTAGGTCTAAAGTAACTCAACAATATCTATAAAAGTAAACTAACGCTACTTTTTCAAAATTGTCATTTGCCTAACTTTGATGATTTTCATTAATGTTTGGTTTATGTAAACTAGAAACTAGAATGCCCGATCATTGTGTGTGTGAATTACAGCCTCTCTAGTTTATATAGAAGATATCTGTAACATTGTTATACCACCAAGTTTTCATTATAAGGAGATAAATAGAGGGATTATTCTGCCCAGCTGTTACTTCAGCCAGTGTCCTTATTGGCAGATGTTGCCTCCATTTCATTACCCTTCCTGTTCAGTTATTGATAAACAAAGAATGATATATAAACTTATCCTTGCAACTGGACCACCTCATGCTTCTCTGACTTACACATTACTAGCTTTACTGGTCAGAGTCAAGAAGAGTTAATGCAATAGTTACAAGTGTCACTTATCCATCTGTTTGTCCAGCTGTCTGTCTGTCCATCTGAAATAAAAAATTTTGAAATACATGTACTATTCTTCCTACATTTTTGGTCTGATTTCAAAATAATTAGCCACACAAGTAGATTACACTAAGATACATAATTCTTGTTGTCATCAGTTTTAGAATTTGGTGAATAGTGTTGCCATGGTTATTAAAATGGAAAATTCTATAAAATTCTTTCAAAAGGTTCTTCCTGCTGCAGTTTAGTCTGACTGAAAAAAATGCTAAACAAAGAATCATTATTTTTTTATTGCTGTTGAATTGTTTCAAGTCCAAGTGCTACTTTTCTCTTCATTTGTTAGAAGTACACACCAATAGTACTGCAGACTCATCTTCAGGATTTAGATGCCTAACTCCTAAATTTCATTTAAATCCACATAACAGTCCTAAATGGTGAAAAAACCCATTACCTAAATACATATTTAAATTTACATTAGTGTCGTTTAGAAATGTGCTTAAATCACTATGTATTCGTTTTATTAAATAATGCACTAAGGATATGTGGAATAATGATATAGCCTGTAGATGGGCAGTTTACATACATGCATTAACAATGAAAAGAATTGCACCAAGATTCTTTTATAAATGTTTATAAACATGTTACAGATACATTTTAGATGACACATCAAGTCACAATGATCTTCAATATTTTAGGGTTTTGTGATTTTTGTGACGATGTGTCGTGAGGCCCTCGATGATTACAGAAGATACAGACGTGATAAAGAAGCCAACTCACAGAAATACCGTAAACTAACTCGTGATGGTTTGGTCCCGGTTCCCAGCAGTAACATCAGAGTGGGCGACCTTATTGTGGTCGATAAGGTAACTTATTTATTCATTCATTTGTAGAGATTTTCGGATATGATTACTTATTCAAGTTTGTTTGTTTTCCAGGATCACAATATGTCATTTAATGTAGTTTTTTTTCTTTTTTTTGTGAGATTAGCTAATGCTTTGAAATTGACCTAGTTCTCTGATTTTTAGGATCACTGAGTGCCAACTGTTGTCTTACAAGCTAGGTTTTTTTTAGAACCAGCACAAGCTAATTGACCCAATTTTCTTGTTTTATTATTAGGATCAGCAAATACCTGCTGACATGGTTTTCTTGTTTTATTTATAGGATCATTGAGTGCCTGCTGACATGGTTATCTTGTTTTATTTATAGGATCAGTGAGTGCCTGCTGACATGGTTATCTTGTTTTATTTTTAGGATCAGCGAGTGCCTGCTGACATGGTTTTCTTGTTTTATTTTTAGGATCAGCGAGTGCCTGCTGACATGGTTATCTTGTTTTATTTTTAGGATCAGCAAGTGCCTGCTGACATGGTTATCTTGTTTTATTTTTAGGATCAGTGAGTGCCTGCTGACATGGTTATCTTGTTTTATTTATAGGATCAGAGAGTGCCTGCTGACATGGTTATCTTGTTTTATTTACAGGATCAGAGAGTGCCTGCTGACATGGTTTTCTTGTTTTATTTATAGGATCATTGAGTGCCTGCTGACATGGTTATCTTGTTTTATTTATAGGATCAGTGAGTGCCTGCTGACATGGTTATTTTGTTTTATTTTTAGGATCAGCGAGTGCCTGCTGACATGGTTTTCTTGTTTTATTTTTAGGATCAGCGAGTGCCTGCTGACATGGTTATCTTGTTTTATTTTTAGGATCAGCGAGTGCCTGCTGACATGGTTATCTTGTTTTATTTTTAGGATCAGCGAGTGCCTGCTGACATGGTTATCTTGTTTTATTTTTAGGATCAGCGAGTGCCTGCTGACATGGTTATTTTGTTTTATTTTTAGGATCAGCGAGTGCCTGCTGACATGGTTATCTTGTTTTATTTTTAGAATCAGCATGTGAAATGAAAAATTTATGAGGTTATAAAATCATGTGATAAATATTCCATATGAAAAAATCTATACACATAATAAAGAATAAGCCTGCTGTATACATGTACATGGTTATCTTGTTTTTGTTTTATTTTTACATGGTTATCTTGTCAGCGAGTGCCTGCTGACATGGTTATCTTGTTTTATTTTTAGGATCAGTACGAGTGCCTGCTGACATGGTTTTCTCACGTCAATGTGGTAAGTTATAACTTTATATCCAGTACAAAGCACACAGAAACTCCACATCAATGTGGTAAGTTATAACTTTGTATCCAGTACAAAGCACCCAGAAACTCCACGTCAATGTGGTAAGTTATAACTTTATATCCAGCAAAGCACAGAAACTGGTCAATTGTAAGTTATAACTTTATATCCATACAAAGCACCCAGAAACTGCCTGCTGACATGGTTATTTTGTTTTATTTTTATATCCAGCAAAGCACTGCTGAAACTTCACATTATTTTGTTAAGTTATTTTTATATCCAGTACAAAGCACCCAGAAACTGACATGGTTATCTTGTTTTATTTTTATATCAGCGAGTGCCTGCTGACATGGTTTTCTTGAGGCACCACAGAAACTCCAGGTCAATGTGGTAAGTTATAACTTTATATCCAGTACAAAGCACCCAGAAACTCCACGTCAATGTGGTAAGTTATAACTTTATATCCAGTACAAAGCACCCAGAAACTTCACGTCAGTGTGGTAAGTTATAACTTTATATCCAGTACAAAGCACCCAGAAACTTCACGTCAATGTGGTAAGTTATTACTTTATATCCAGTACAAAGCACCCAGAAACGTCACGTCAGTTTGGTTATCTATAATTTTTGTCAGAATTGTGATGTTTTAAAAAAGATATAAACAAATGTATGTGTATGACCCTCAGTAAGCCTCTCTACTACAGGATATTTTGGATATAACAGCGGAGGTGTACGCTGAGGCTCCTCAGAAAGACATCCACGGCTTTTTGGGCACTTTTAAACGGGTGAGGACTGTCATTCTCTTTGTTTTGTGTTTTCTATTCACCACTTCAAGAATATTTAAGTTTACTTCAGTTGTAGGGATTTATAAGGATTCTCTTTGCAATGAAATATGTTCATATCTTCATTTCATAATCTGAGTCTCATGTTAATGGTTATTGATTTCTTATTGATCTGAATGCAGTACATATGTAACAGGGTGACTGATACCAAAGTAATATTGACATTGAGAGTACCGGTATAATCTACACTACTTATCATTGTCAATTACAAACTTGTATTCAAAAGTCAGAACCTAGAACTTCTTAGACTACTCACTAAGTAATTTTAGATTGTATTAGAGTTCTGAATTTGTGTTGTTACAGTATGATGAACCTGTAGAAGATTCTCTTAGTGTTGAGAATACTCTGTGGTCCAATACTGTAGTGGCCTCGGGGTCAGCCCTGGGGGTGGTGATATACACAGGGGCGGAGACACGTAGTGTGATGAACACTTCCCAACCACCATCCAAGGTACATATCTTAGTACTACGCATTAGAACTGATTTGAAATGTAACTCTACCTGTTGTTTTGTTTATGTAAAATCTAAACAGTGTATATTTTGCTTGCTAAAAAATGCTAACATTATCAATTAGAATTATTTTTTTTTGATACAGCTGTAATTTGATATTTTCTTCAAATGGTAAAATCGTACAATTAATTTCTTCTCTTAATTGCAAGAACACATTCGTGTACATGTAGTACATGAAAGAAATATGAATACAAGATGGTATCCTTTCATCCAACAGGTTGGTCTCCTAGACCTAGAAGTCAACACACTGACAAAGCTGTTGTTTTTTGCTGTAATAATTTTGTCTGTAGTTATGTTAGCTCTAAAGGTAAGTCCTCATTTAAACTCATAAGTTTGTAAATGTTGTATTTGTAAACCTTCATTTATATGCAGTAACTCAGAAGTACCTGTATGTAGAATCTCCAATATGAACACTGTCCGAAACAAAATAAAACAAATGTAAAGATTTTAATCTCATAGTTCTGTAGAGTACACACGTTTTTATGCAACTTTGATCATTTAAGGAAATCTTTGTAACTTGTATAGTTTTATAACAATGTTAAAATTTTGTGTCAGTAAAAAAAGATGTCTCAGAGAGATTATAAATGTATAGTGTATATGAGTAAATATTTTTTTTCTTTCAGGGATTTGATGGACCCTGGTACAGATATCTCTTCAGATTTATACTTCTCTTCTCTTACATTATTCCTATAAGGTAATAGAAATCTAAAATTTAAAAAAATTCTCAAAATAGTCATAGTTTTTGTTGTATCTTTACAGATGTGCCTATAGCTTCATGTCTTTAAAATCTTTGTCTTCAGTTTGCGAATCAATCTGGACATGGGAAAGGCAGCATACTCATTTATGATCCAGAGAGATAAATCAATCCCAGAAACCATTGCTCGGAGCACCACAATTCCAGAGGAATTAGGTCGTGTTAGCTACCTCATGTCTGACAAAACTGGCACACTCACACAAAACGAAATGGTAAATAACCGGAATACAGTTTCTCTCATCTGCTGAAATGTGCACATTACACTAGTATAAATTCTGTGCTGTATATTGCTCATAATGATAATATGTTTTAGTAATAAAAATTTATTATTATACTGTTTTACCCTTGTGTGTCTGTCTGTTTGTCCATAATTTTTTTTTCTGTGTTTTGACAGGTTTTCAAGAAACTTCATCTGGGAACTGTGTCCTTTACCCCTGAAACAATGGATGAGGTCAGAATTTATCCTGTTTGTATAGATTATCAGAAGTTTTTTTTTTTTTAGAATTACTCAAGGTACATGTATTTAACTAATTTCATTAGCAACTTTATTTGATATTGATAGTCTTGCAATTAATAAAGAACTTTTACTTGAAATAAGTTTTCATTGTTATACCTGCACATATAGGTACAGTCGCACTTGAGAACCACTTTTGCTCAACAACAAAAGGAGGCACAACCATCCCAGCAACCTTTCCTGGGCCCCTCCATGACCCCCTCTCGTAGCGGTGGTCCTGTACGACGGACGGTGATCACCCGGGTGTTTGAGGCAGTCAGGGCTCTGGCTCTGTGTCACAATGTGACCCCCGTGTATGAGGAGAGTGAGAACAGTGACCTGGGATACGAAACTGAGGCTGATCAACAGAGCCAGCAACAAGTGGTGTACCAGGCCTCCAGTCCAGATGAGGTCAGTGTCAAACAGAGGCTGATCGAATGATTATTGTATAAAATGGGCCTTGATGTTCAGTCAATAAATACAGGGGGTAGTAAATATTACAGCCTGATATTGATAGGGTTCACATAATAGAGTATAAAATTGAGAGGGAGTTTTCTTTTCCTGTTGTATGTTTATCTAGTTACAACTTGACCATTTGACATAAATATTTCACTACAAACCCGACAAGACAATGTAAACAATATAAATTAAGATTTACATTTGATTACTTTTTCAAGATTTAGTGTTTATGTTGAGTGGTTCAAAAATTTATTTCATACAAAAATTTTATGTTTCCTAAACTAAATGTTAATCTCTTAAAATCTAGCATTATCCCAGAATAATCTCAACAGTTTTATCCTGTGTTAGTATTTCCTTGATGTGTGATATAAGTTGCCCTGTTGACTTCTTTATATTCTTACTTCCCTGATGTTTGTCATAATACTACAAGTACAAACAAGTGTGAAGATTTTTTTTACCTCTTTTTTTCAGTCACATACATCCTGATAAAGAATAATTCATGTGAAACACCCAAAAGGGTGGGGGTATTTGTCCCTTTTGGACAGTTCTAGTTTTGCATATTATAAGTTATAAATTCATTAAATATTGTATCTAATACACCATGAGATCTTGGATCTACCATGTTATTTGATGCACCTTATAAACTTGTTTTCCATTTCTAAGCCTCTGGGAACCTTTTTACATTGTCTGTTTACAGGTTGCCTTGGTTACGTGGACGGAGAGCGTGGGACTGACCTTACTGAAGAGAGATCTGAATTCCATGCAGCTGAGGGCTCCGAATGGCTCCGTCATCACATACCACATCCTCCATATCTTCCCCTTCACCTCAGAGACCAAGAGGATGGGCATCATTGTTAAAGTAGGATTCTCTTTTTAGCTCACTTGCGCTGAAAGCTCAAGTGAGCTTTTCTGATATTATAATCATGAAATTTTTTCTTGGATAGTTGTCATTGTGTTCTGGTATGTTTTATTTAGATTTTTTACTATGATTCTTTAAACTATTTTTTAAAACTTTTGAAAATTATTTATTTATATATTTATGTATTTTTCTTATTTAACAGGAAGAGAAAACAGGAGAGATTTCTTTTTACATGAAGGGTGCTGATGTTGTAATGCAGACAATAGTACAGTACAATGATTGGCTAGAAGAAGAGGTAAATCAGATATGTTAAAATATATATTATGCTGTGCTTCATTCAACTCAGAAAATTTTTACATTTAATTTGATCAAATGAACTTGTAATGATAATAACTGTCTTAATGATGAATTGTAGCTTGATATAAGCATATCATTAGATGTATTTATGCAGTCTTCCACTAATACAACATTTTGATATAATAATTCAATACATCGTGTCACATTTATAATACAGTGTGGAAACATGGCAAGAGAGGGACTCAGAACTCTTGTTGTTGCCAAGAAAATATTAACCGAAGATCAATTCCAAGAATTTGATGTGAGTCTTTTCAGTATTGATTAAATATACACATGTATTATAATAAATAAATTATTTATTGAGGTTTTGTGAAAAAAGCAAAATATTTTGTTTTATGCCAATTTTTTGTTTGAAAGTTCATTCATCTGTGGTGTATTACAGACTCGCTATCATCAAGCCAAAATGAGCATTCAGGACAGAAATGCTAAGATCCAGGGAGTGATAGAGAGTTTAGAGAGAGACATGGAGCTGTTATGTCTGACTGGTGTGGAGGATAAACTACAGGACGGGGTCAGACCCACACTGGAAATGCTGAAAAACGCTGGCATTAAGGTATTAATGTATAACACTGGAAATGCTGAAAAACGCTGGCATTAATACTGATGGTTCTTGACTACGAAATTAGTAGAGTCACAGTTCAACTCTTATATTTTGACAGTTTTCATATCTTGAAATTTTCCAGTAGTCCTACCGATGTCAAGATACAAAAGTTTACCTGTAATTTCTTTATACAGCTTGTTTAATTATTTTATTCTGCCTTAGGTGTGGATGTTGACAGGAGATAAACTAGAGACTGCTATTTGTATTGCTAAGAGTTCTAAGCTTGTCTCCCGGACACAGGACATTCACATCTTTGGAGTGGTCAGTGGCCGGACGGAGGCTCATTTACAGCTGAACGCACTCAGGAGAAAGCAGGACAATGCCTTGATAATCACAGGAAACTCACTGCAGGTAATGAGTATGGTATTCTAAAGATAACAAAAATTTCATTATCTGGAACTCCTTAGGGCAGAAAAAATTAAGGTATTTTGAGATAATTAAGGGTTCAGGATATTCAGGTTAAACTTGAAAAAGAAAGTGATTGGGACTTCCAACCTTGCACAGTTTAATTTGTTTTTGTTCCTTTTAAGTTAATGTAGTGATTGTACATCTATTATTTTGATTGACAGGTGTGCCTGAAATACTATGAACACGAGTTTGTAGAGCTAGCTTGTCAGTGTCCGTCTGTTGTTGTTTGTCGATGTTCTCCAACTCAGAAAGCAGACATCGTGAAACTTCTACAAAACCATACCGGGAAACGCACATGTTCCATAGGTAATTAATTATAATAAATAAAAAATCTGTAGTTTAACCCCAGTCACATTTTCAAAAACAACTAACAGCCAACGGTTTTGGAGAAAAAACTTGGGATTCTTTGGACTCCAGTCAGCCATTGTTTTGCCTGATTTTGACTTTTTTCACCTGAGCCGAAGGCTTAAGTGAGCTTTTCTGATCAAAATTTGTCTGTTGTCTGTCGTGGTCATTGTCGGCGTTGTCATTAACTTTTCACATTTTCGACTTCTTCTCAAGAACCACTGGGCCAATTTCAACCAATCTTAGCACAAAGTATCCTTAGGTGAAGGGGATTCAAATTTGTTCAAATGAAGGGCCACACCCTTTATTAAGGGGAGATAATTGAGAAATAGTGAAAATTTGATGGTATGTTTTAAAAATCTTCTTCTCAAGAACCACTGTGCCAGGAAAGATGAAACTAATAGGGAAGCATCCTCAGTCAGGTAGTGTAGATTCAAATTTGTTCTAATCATGACCACGGGGGGGGGGGGGGGGGGGGGCCACAATGGCCGATCAAAGTTTTACAATATATAGGCCAATCAAAGTCATGTTTTGTTGAAGTTTTGTTGAAGTCATGACCCCTGGGTGTAGGGCGGGGCCACAACATGGAATCCAAGTTTTACATAGAAACTTGTAGAAAAAATCTTTAAAAATCTTCTTTTCAAGAATAGCAAATAGCAAAGTCATAATTAGTCCTATTCATTTGGAAGCATTCTCAGGTAGTGTAGATTCAATTTTGTTGAAGTCATGACCCCATGGGGTAGGATGGGGCCACAGTGTTAAGTTGAAATGTAAAGGGCAATAAAGCCACTGGTAGTCTAAGAAATATGCAAGCATCCTTAGTTAGTGTAGATTCAAGTTTGTTCAAATCATACCCTCTCAGTTTTAAGGATTGGTTGGGACCACAATTGGGTTTAAACTTTTCAATAATAAACGGATTTCTGCTTTTTTCCTAACCATATTGCTCAGGTGAGCAATGTGGCCCATGGGCCTCTTGTTTTACCCATTAGCTGACCAAATTTGTGTCCTTCAGGAAAAGTTGTATATTTTTTGTGTTGGTTGCCAGATTATTCAGTTGAAGCAAACATTAAACACCTGGTCAACGGACCTTCAATCATCTTCCAATTATTAGCAAAATTATGGTTTAAGTCTGTCAGCTCTCAACGATCAGACAATGATTGGCTGACTTTTAAATATTCCTAAGGATTAATTTTAAAAAAGGTGGAATCAAAGATTATTGTTAAATTAAGAAGAAAATTCCACATTAAAACAACAGGTACAGCAGGAAATGCAAATGGTTTTTAGCTCACCTGAGCCAAAGGCTCAAGTGAGCTTTTCTGATCACATTTTGTCCGGCATCCATCTGTCCGTCTGTCTGTCTGTTTGTAAACTTTTCACATTTTCGACTTCTTCTCAAGAACTGCTGGGCCAATTTCAACCAAACTTGCCACAAAGCATCTTTGGGTGAAGGGGATTGAAGTTTGTTCAAATGAAGGGCCACGCCCTCATTCAAGGGGAGATAATTGAGAAATAGTGAAAATTTGATGGTATGTTTTAAAAATCTTCTTCTCAAGAACCACTGTGCCAGGAAGGATGAAACTTATGGGGAAGCATCCTCAGGTAGTGTAGATTCAAATTTGTTCAAATCATGACCCCTGGGGGTAGGGCGAGGCCACAATGGCCGACCAAAGTTTTACATAGAAATATATAGGAAAATTCTTTAAAAATCTTCTTCTCATGAATAACAAAGCCTTATTAAATTGATCATATTTATATGGCAGCATCCTCAGGTAGTGTAGATTCAAGTTTGTTCAAATCATGACCCCTGGGGGTAGGGTGGGGCCACAATGGCTTACCAAAGTTTTACATAGAAATATATATAGGAAAATTCTTTAAAAATCATCTTCTCAAGAATAACTAGTCATGGGTTTACTTTTGGATTGAAACTTTTCAATAATAAACCAATTTCTACTTTTTACCACCCACAGTGCACAGGGCCTCTTGTTATGTTATTATTTGGGGCTAATTTAATAAGTAGACTTTATCTAATTATTTGTCCCAATGTAGATACATGTGGTTGATTGAAAATATCTGCAATAGATTTTGCACCTTGTTGTACCATAGTTAATGAAATGTAACCCTTTGTTTTGTAGGTGACGGAGGGAATGATGTCAGTATGATTCAGGCTGCTAATGTTGGAGTTGGAATAGTTGGTAAAGTAAGTAAACGCAGCATCTCTGTGACTGCAAAGTCAGGTCCTGTGTTATAAATATACAAAAAGGAAGTGTATTTTTCATTCTTTTTAAAATTTCAAATCCCATTTTCTGTCATAATCCAAGTTTTATTTATGTCTGTTGTCTCCAACTGATGTAATAACGATACATAAATGTTTATGTTCTTCTGTTGTGTTGTAGGAAGGAAAACAGGCTTCTCTAGCTGCCGATTTCTCCATCACACAGTTTAGTCACATTGGGAGACTTTTAATGGTGCATGGCAGAAACAGGTCAGAAAATAAAAGGAGTTTGTTTTGTAAATAATGACACAGATTTCCCCTAGTTGAACAATTTGAAATGAAATTTATTATCAGTTATTTAATTACTTGACCTGTATTGTTAAATGTGAGTATTTTGTGTTTGCCCTCAATTTGACGTGAGCCTGTTTTACTTTCAGCTACAAGCGTATATTGTATTTGCTCTAAATTTTACGTGAGCCTCTTTATATTTTCAGCTACAAGCGTTCGGCCTCCCTCAGTCAGTTCGTCATGCACCGTGGACTCATCATTTCCACAATGCAGGCCGTATTTAGCTCCGTCTTCTACTTCGCCTCCATTGCTTTATTTCCTGGTTTCCTTATGATTGGGTAATTATTATCAAAGATTTATATTCAGTGGAATTTTTTCTCTTAATGAAATCTGTTTGAAATGTGCAACATTCAGTTCCCTATGACACACATCAAACCTTCTCAGGTTGTGGTAGACTACACAATAGGAACTACATGTACATGCAATTTAAATACACTAAGAACACCAAAATATGCGTTGTTTTGGCTCAATTTAATTTAAAACAAATACACTATTAAGTTGTTGTAAAAATATAACATTTCAATGTAAATTTAGACTTTCTCATTTTTAACCCCCTCACAATATTGATTTGGTTTTGCACTAACATTTTAACATCATAACAACTCTATTAACCACACACCGGATCTGAATTGCACCAACTGAAATATCTAATAAAGATGAATGAAATCAACATTTATGAAGAGAGAAAATTAGGGAGTGTAATCCTGAGCAATGAGTTATTTTTTGATGTTGGTGGTGGTATAACAGCACCTGCATATGGCTGTTCTGACAAATTCGAAAAATGTTGCGCTAATAGATGGTATTCAATAAGTCAGCATGGCTAGGTATTGTTATTTGACTGACAGCATCCAAAAATAAATATTCAATGCTTAATTATCAAATTTTGTATGTGACAAAATATGAGCTACGGACTCATTAAATACTTCTGATTGTTACAGTTATGCTACAGTGTATACAATGTATCCCGTGTTTTCTTTGGTGCTGGATAAAGATGTCTCCGCGGAAACGGCCATGACCTATCCTGAACTCTACAAGGAACTGGTCAAGGTAACGGAATATTTACCAATATCTTCTCATTTTCTTTTGTCACCTGAGTTTTTTAATTGACCTATTGTTTCCAACTTTTTGGTCCGTCGTCGTGCATTAACATTTGAACATTTTCAGCTTCTTCTCTGAAACCGCTGAACCAATTTCAAGCAATTTTGGCAAATAGCATCTATGGGTGAAGGGGAACAAAAATTTTGAATTTCACGGTCCCTGCCCCGCTGGGGCCTGGGGGGTGCGGCCAAAACCACTAAAATTGGTGCAATCTTTAAAAATCTTCTTCTTTACTACTGGACATCAAACAGTCAAAGTGTTGGTATGATTGTAATTAGCATCGAGTCCTCAACCAAAATTGTGAAATTCATGGCCCCAGGGTCAGGGGTTCTAGTGCTAGGATGGGGCTATATAGATTATATAGTGAAAATGCATAAATTCTTTGAAATTCTTCTTCTCTGCTCATGGGCATTAAATAAACTAACCAAGTGCATAGTTATGTTGAATAAGGCTGCCTCTTCCAAAATTTATGAATTTCATGGCCCAGGGTCAGGGGTCTTAGTGCTAGGACGGGGCTATAAAGATTATATAGTGAAAATGCTTAATTTCTTTGAAATTATTCTTCTCTGGTCATGGGTATTAAAAAAACTAACCAAGTGCATATTTATGTTGAATAAGGCTGCCTCTTCCAAAATTGTGAATTTCATGGCCCCAGGGTCAGAGTTTCTAGTGCTAGGGCGGGGCTATATACTGTAGATTGTATAGTGAAAATGCATAAATTCTTTGAAATTCTTCTTCTCTGCTCATGGGCATTAAATAAACTAACCAAGTGCATAGTTATATTGAATAAGGCTGCCTCTTCTAAAATTGTGAATTTCATGGCCCCAGGATCAGGGTTTCTAGTGCTAGGGCGGGGCTATATAGATTATATAGTGAAAATGCATAAATTCTTTGAAATTCTTCTTCTCTGCTCATGGGCATTAAATAAACTAATCAAGTGCATAGTTATGTTGAATAAGGCTGCTTCTTCCAAAATTGTGAATTTCATGGCCCCATAGTCAGGGTTTTAGTGCTAGGGTTGGGCTGTATAGATTATTTAGTGAAAATGCATAAATTCTTTGAAATTCTTCTTCTCTGCTCATGGGCATTAAATAAACTAACTAAGAGCATATTTATGTTGATTAAGGCTGCCTCTTCCAAAGTTGTGAATTTCATGGCCCCAGGGTCAAGGGTGTTAGTGCTAGGGCGGGGCTATAAAGATTATACATGTATAGTGAAAATGAGTTATTTCTTTGAAAATCTTCTTTTCTGCACCCGCATGGGTATTAAACCAATGAACTATGTACATAGTTATGAGAAGGAAGGATGCCTCTTTGAGATTTGTGAATTTCAGGGCCCCTGGGTCAGGGCTCCATGTGTTAGGGCGGGGCTTTAATGTTTATATAATGAAAATGGATGAATTGTTTGAAAAACTTTTCCTTTGCTCCTGGGTATTATGCCAATGATGTAAGTACATATTTATGATCAAAAGAGCTGCTTCTTCCAAAGTGGTTAATTTCTGGGCCCCTGGGTAAGACATATTTGGAGGGGGGAGGGTACATAGTCTGAATATAAATTAATGCTTTGAAATCTGCACTTTGATATTAATCAACAATTTATGATGAAATAAAATTCATGATAAAATTTCCAAAATTTTGAAATATGTGGCCCTTGGGTCAGTGGTTCCTGTGGAGTGAGTGCACAACTGGTTATAAATAGAAATTCATTTTCTCTTTGTTGCTCTGATTTTTTATTAAGTAACCAAAGTAAAATGCTAAGTGTAAAATCAATATACGAATGGTGTCTCTTTCAAAATTGTAAATTTCATGGCCTCTGTTTAAAACAGGAATCAAATTCATTTGTTGGAAAGTTGTTACAGGATACTCAGGTGACCTATAAGGCCCATGGGCGTCTTGTCTAATTCTTTGGTCAGAAAATGACATTTTAATTGAATGTTTTAGATTTTTTTGACTCATATCCTGAGTGCTACATTAATGTTTGTATGCTTTGTTTCAGGGGAGATCACTTTCATTTAAAACATTTTTCCTTTGGGTTCTTATAAGTATTTACCAAGGTAAGTTATGAGGTATTTTATTAGATACTTTTTGAACGATCAACATTTACTTTCCTGTGTTCACTGTAAGTGATAAAATGTTTCTCAACTTTTTGCAATTTTCGCAATTTATGTGTAATAATCTTTTTCACCATTAGAACAATTTCATTTTAGAAACCATACTACACAATAAACCAACACAATTTGTAAATTCTTTAACTTCCACGCATATAGATATCCACTTAACAGTGTATACATGTATGGAGACATAAAACTAGAGTATAATTAATGTAAAATGTCCTGTTGACAGGTGGTATCATTATTTACGGTGCTCTATGGCTGTTTGATGAAGACTTTGTTCACGTCGTGTCCATTACGTTTACCTCCCTCATCCTGACAGAGCTGCTGATGGTGGCCCTGACAATAAGAACGTGGCACTGGGCAATGGTTGTTGCTGAAGTATTCAGCTTAGCCATTTATATTTTATCACTTGTTGTACTGCATAATTACTTTGGTAAGTTTGTGAAAAGGTACCTATTCCTCTCCCTACAGAATTGTGTAGATTATGCAAGCAAAAACAATTTGGGGGCATTAATTAGAAAACATATATATTACAGTCATTTTGTAAACTAAATTTAAATGATACATATGCTTTCCAAAAGTATGTCTTGTTCATTTTGTATAAGGGTATACTGTACATGATTTAGCTGTGTGGGTTAAATGAACAAAAAAGATTGAACGATTGTTTTCATTCTAGATGGGACATTCCTGAGGACGTGGGATTTTATCTGGAAGGTGGTCGTCATCACGTCTGTCAGCTGTATACCCCTGTATATCCTAAAATACATACGAAAGAAATTCTCTCCTCCTGTCTATGCCAAGCTTACGTGAGATTGTGCGCTATATATAGTGAACAAAAAGGAATATCAGGGTCCGCATCATTGAACTGTTTCTTACAAGAAAGAGGTTCCGGGTCAGTGAAGTTGAGTGTACAAGGAAACCATTAGAACATTTGTGCAATTTTTTTATTTTTTTTTAAACATATTTGAATTCCATCCTCTGTGGCTGAGTGATAGCATTATTATTTTTCTCTGTGCTTGAAGTACCAGCATACTATTTACATAATCAGTAGCGTAGTCTCTGTATGACTGTAACAATTTATCAGTAAATTCATTACAGGATCCATATAATTTTGAAAATACCATTTAAGTGGAAATTTTAGCAAGGATTTTATTTTGGCATTATAAGCAAGGGTACTAAGATTGCTAAAATTGAATATTGCTAAAAATTATAGGGTTTTATTTGTTACACTTCTTAAGTGAGCATTATAAAATCGCTAAAATTACCAATTTTTAAGGACAAATCGCGAAATTTGCGTCTCCCTAAAATTTCCACTTATACGGTAATATTCATGATTCCCAGTGCTATGTATATCCATCATAATAAGGCCTGAAACAGCATAGGAGTTCTTCAAAAATTAATTCTGATGCTATTTTTTCTCTTCGAGGTAAAATTTATGGTACAATCAATATACATATAATGGCAAATTTAACAAGACACTATCCGTCTTTATAATCTCAACAGTTCATTTATTTTTTCTTGCATATATTTTTTCTTTTTTGTGTTAAATTATAAATTTATTTTTTTTATTGAATCAAGTCAAGTGATAAAAATTGACTTCACTTTTTTTTTTCAATTTAGTGGTTGAACCAGTGCTTAATATGACAGTTTTATGTCATTTTTCATTTTTTTTCTGTGGATTTTTTTCTTTTAAAAGGAATGTCCAGTTGCATATACATGTAGTACTTTCATCACTTCTGTAAGCAAACATTCATCTGTTTAAAAAAAGTCTTTGAATTATTCATTTAAAGATCGTTAGCATGTTCATGTACTGGTACAAATTAAATACAGGGTCTAAATTTACTGAAATATTTTATGAAATGCATTTAATTTTTATTTCCAATTTATTTATTGCTACATTATCGATATATATATTTAAATGTGGATTGAAATAATACTTATATTTTACGACATACACTGACAAATTCTACCAATAATATTGGACTAGCTGATACATGTATACCTTTGATGTTACATATTTTTTTTCTAGTGGTGTTTGGTTCACCTCTGATGAATAAATGACATACATATTGTTGTTTTACTTTTACTGTACACTACCATATTAGTGTGGATGGTCATTTCACTCCAACGGTGAATAAAGAAAATATTAATCAGACATTTAATTAATCAGGGATGACCCCTTTTTTTACCTTGCATCCCAAAGAGATTGTACCAGTGCATATACATGGTTTTACTTTCAGCTGCACATCTGTAAGCAAACTTCTCTGTTAAAAAATAAATATATGATATTCATTTAAAGATCGTTAGCATGTTCATGTACTGGTACAAATTAAATACAGGGTCTAAATTTACTGGAATATTTTATGAAATGCATTTAATTTTTATTTCTCAATGTTTTTAAAGCTGTATTATCTCAAAATATTACTAAATGTGTGTTCCTAACATATTCTTTGACTTTTACACAACAAAACATTCCTCATAATTGTTGTTAATAGTCCTCCTGGTACTGATATTGCAATCATCGGACATTTCAATTTAGCTTATTTATACTGCCATTTTGGTTTTCAAAGATGGTGTTTGGATGTCAACTCTTGATACAGGAGAGAGTAATTTTTTTGAAATCTTCCATTTTTTGCAATTGAGGTAAGAATTTGGAAAAATTATTACTTTTACTTTTTTGTGCGCAATAAATATACAGTTTTTTCATGGGTGGCATTTCACTCCAACGGTCTATTAATCAGACATTTAATTAATCAGGGATGACCCCTTGAAAAATTACCTTCCATCCCAAGAGATTGTACCACTGCACTGCATGGTTTTCTAAACCTCTAACACCTCTCAAAATTCATACTTGATGAATTACGGATTTAATTCACGTTTACTTCACTTTTCCTATCTTGCCCATTAGTATTTTAACTTAAGTACAATTTCTAAATGCTTAAAAAATAATCCCTCCACTTTCTTAAGGCTTCGTTTTCATTGAAGGAGAGCAAGTTTGGTTTTCTGGTGCTTTGACTACAAGCCATAGAACCAAATGTTGTAATTGTAGAGGAATACAAAATCTGGATAAAGCAAAGTCAATTGCAAGTTTGTCAGAACTTAGCTAAATCTAGTTTTTCTGTATACATGAATTTTTTTAGACATCATTTTCATAAGATAAAAAAGATGTCAGCATCTCAGTCAATGTCTAGAAAGAAATGATAGTCAAACAGGTTTCCTACATTTTAATCAAATTAAAGAACAAAATTTGAATTCATCCGAAATAACTTTTATTGATACAACATTGTTATAATAACGTAAAGTGCTGAACTGGAAAAAAAAACAACCAGTATAAAGTAAAAATTACTGTATAAAAATGGCCTTTAGTTTAAAAAGCAGACAGGGTCAAAAGGTCATGTAAACAAAAACTGGGAAAAAATCATATAAAAATTAAAAAAAAAAAAATTATACAAAGTTTGCATCCAAAAATTATGATATACATGGTATATCTTGCTGAGGAAAACTAGAACATGTAACTGGCACTGAAAGTTATTAGACAAGTATTCTACAGGGATGAATACAAAAAGACAACCTTATATTGAATAGAATTTTGTGTACATAAACTGTCCTGTTTAAGAAATACACTGTTTTTTGGTCCTGGATAATACAATTATGATATCTTTGGTAAAATTATCGATAGATGTCCTGATTTAAAGACTTGAGAATCATGATGGGAAGGAAAAAGAAAACTAAAAACAACTAATGATCTTAAGATCAGTCTAGCTGATTTGTCAAAGGACAGGTTGCATTATTTAAATGAAGAAAATCTAACTTGCATGTATAAATAAACCTGCATGCATATAACTCATTGAACATGTATAGTGAGCTATGCTCTTCAGTTTCACAAAACATGCATTAAGTTTAAACTTAATGTCAATAAACATTGATCTTAACAAATATTCTTCACAGAAGAACCAAAGTTAATTTAATTTGTGCTATGAAAGCACAAAATTTTGCTGCTGACAGAAAATAAAACTGATTTTTTGGTTGGCACAAAAAAATTCAAACTCACATTCACAAAGAATTGTTAACATCAAACATACCGTGGTAAAAATGTTTCAAATACATGTACTTCAACAACTAATTTTTGTTCTTTTATGATTAAGTTGACAGAGAATTTTCAGAACCAAGGTTAACAGGTTTAATTCTTAGAAATAATTTGCATCTTTTTGCTATGAAGCTTTGGCTAGACAAATCTTGCAGCTCTTTAACATTGATATAGCATTACAATATATTGCTTTTCAACATTTCAACATTCAAAAAAAAACTTTGTTTTAAGAAAAATCTTTAAATTTGAAAAACCAATATCAGGATTTGTAAACACACTTGCCCACATTTCTCTAAAAGATTTAAAAAAAAAAACAATTATCAAATGCATATGCATGTAATTTCACATATCCTTTCAAATACAATACATATAATTTCTTTTCACTTATGCTTTCTTGCACTATTTTGCTTGTTTTTTTTGCAATACACATAAAAGTATGATATGTGCTTCTACAAAAAGTTAGGTATATGTCAAATATGGTACATGTATAAACAATATGCCTTAATTGTATTGTTTTATCAACTGTAGAGAGTTACCCTTATTCATATGTGGTAGACAGAGCAAGTGTAGGAATTTGAAGCAAGAGATCATACTCCTCCTTAACCCTGTTAATTTTTGTGATACACCTTTAAATCATCAGATCTTGCTTCCTGGTCAGCTACTCCACACTTTACATTCCTGGATACTGCCCGCCCCCATAAAGACTGGCTGAGGGGTACGCAGGTCCCTGTCCATGGTAACCACTGGGGTACCCCAAGGGGGACACTCCTCCAGGTATAGAGCTGGGAAGGCCCGTCGGAATGGTACTAGGGGCTCCCACAGGATATCCTCTGGGAACACTGGTCACAGGCAAGCCTTGGTAAGCCCCTTGGTGACTAAGAGCACTTGGGATGGATATCACTGGGCTAGCAGTAGGATAGTTGGAGCTCTGTTGTAGTGGGTGAGGGCTGTTGAGGTATGTGGGAGTCATGGAAGGATACTGGGCTGTAGCAGGATAGGCTAGGGTGGAAGGAGGCATGGTTGACAGCGAGGGGTGAGGCATGGGCTGGGAGGGTCTGTAAGGTCCAGCTGAAGATACTAAAGTGCTGCTGGGATAAGGAATCCCTGTAATGAGATAAAATATAAATATACAACCCAATACAAATAACCTGAGTACATTTAGCTCAATAGTGATCTCATGGAATTTATTTCAGACAAAACACCTACGTATGCATTACGTGTACAAATGACTATATCTGTTTTTCATGTGATTATTATTATAGGAATAGTTACCAGCAGGGTATCCTGACATGCTACTGAAGCCCTGCATGGCCGGAGCTGTCGTAGACATAGGGTTCCCAACATACTGCTGGCCCATGGCTCCCGCTGGGCTGGGGTACCTAGGCTGGGTTAGAGAGGGCCCTGAGGAGAACCCGGGCAGCAGGCCTTGCTGGGAGGGGGGATATCCAGAGGAGGGGTACCCATGCTGTCCATAAAGACTACCCTTGTCTACTGTGGGGGCTCCATAAAAGTTCATTCTCTGAAACATTGAAATAATCATGTTATACAGGCATTTTTTGCAAGAAAAATAACTTGGTATGCACTCTTAAAATAAAGAAATGTGTGAAGTAGATTCAACACCAGCAAAAAACATAGGTAATCAGAGATTACAGAGCTCACCTCAACGAATGTTGTCTTTAAGTAAGGCAAAGTCACACAATTAACCAACAAAAAGTATACATTCCAAAAATGAAAATATTTTTAAAAGCAATTTTGATCTGATTCTTTGAAATAGACCTACATAAAAAATTTAAACTACTTCTTCTTCATGAAAATGTAATGAAAATCCAGCATCTGAAGCAAATTTGAGAGTTTTCATCTCTTGATGCAGCATTTGTGAAAGTTTGGTTTATACAATGTTATATAAGCCTTATAGTTTTTGGTAATAGACCTGCAACCATAACTTTTACCTTGTCTATTATCTGAAAAATGTATGTCCAATTCAGCATCCAAAGCAAGTCCATTAGTGTGCATCCTATGATGTATCATCCATGCACGTTTGCTCATTATAGGGCTCATAGTTTATTGGAAATGAAACATGCATTAAAACTAACATTTTCACTCATCCACAAAAAGTAGGTCAGATTCAGCTTCCGAAGCAAGCCTGGAAGTATGCATCCTTAGATGTATTGCAAGACTGGTCATTAAAGAACTCATAGTTCCTTGGAAATGAAACCTGCACCAAAAACTTTTAACTATTCACTCAACCGGAAAATGTAGGTCAGATTCAGCATCCGAAGCAAGCCTGGTAGTGTGCATCCTTAGACGTATCATCCATGCAAGTTTGGTCAACATAGGGCTTAAAGTTACTTGCAAATGAAACCTGCACCAAAAACATTAACCTGTTCGCTCAACTGGAAAATGTAGGTCAGATTCAGCATCCGAAGCAAGCCCGTTAGTATGCATCCTTAGATGTATCATCCATGCAAGTTTGGTCAACATAGGGCTTATAGTTACTTGGAAATGAAACCTACTCCAAAAACTTTAACCTGTTCACTCAACTGGAAAATGTAGGTCAGATTCAGCATCCGAAGCAAACCCGGTAGTATGCATCCTTAGATGTATCATCCATGCAAGTTTGGTCAACATAGGGCTTATAGTTACTTGGAAATGAAACCTGCACCAAAAACTTTAACCTGTTCACTCAACCGGAAAATGTAGGTCAGATTCAGCATCCGAAGCAATCCCGGTAGTATGCATCCTTAGATGTATCATCCATGCAAGTTTGGTCAACATAGGGCTTATAGTTACTTGGAAATGAAACCTACACCAAAAACTTTAACCTGTTCACTCAACCGGAAAATGTAGGTCAGATTCAGCATCCGAAGCAATCCCGGTAGTATGCATCCTTAGATGTATCATCCATGCAAGTTTGGTCAACATAGGGCTTATAGTTACTTGGAAATGAAACCTACACCAAAAACTTTAACCTGTTCACTCAACCGGAAATTGTAGGTCAGATTCAGCATCCGAAGCAATCCCGGTAGTATGCATCCTTAGATGTATCATCCATGCAAGTTTGGTCAACATAGGGCTTATAGTTACTTGGAAATGAAACCTGCACCAAAAACTTTAACCTGTTCACTCAACCGGAAAATGTAGGACAGATTCAGCATCCGAAGCAAGCCCGGTAGTATGCATCCTTAGATGTATCATCCATGCAAGTTTGGTCAACATAGGTCTCATAGTTACTTGGAAATGAAACCTACACCAAAAACTTTAACCTGTTCACTCAACCGGAAAATGTAGGTCAGATTCAGCATCCGAAGCAAGCCCGGTAGTATGCATCCTTAGATGTATCATCCATGCAAGTTTGGACAACATAGGGCTTATAGTTACTTGGAAATGAAACCTGCACCAAAAACTTTAACCTGTTCACTCAACCGGAAAATGTAGGTCAGATTCAGCATCCGAAGCAAGCCCGGTAGTATGCATCCTTAGATGTATCATCCATGCAAGTTTGGACAACATAGGGCTTATAGTTACTTGGAAATGAAACCTGCACCAAAAACTTTAACCTGTTCACTCAACCGGAAAATGTAGGTCAGATTCAGCATCCGAAGCAAGCCCGGTAGTATGCATCCTTAGATGTATCATCCATGCAAGTTTGGTCAACATAGGCCTGATAGTTACTTGGAAATGAAACCCACACCAAAAACTGCACCAAAAATGTTAACCTGCTCCAAAAACATTAACCTGGTAATTCCTTTGCTGAAATTGCAGCATCTGAAACTTTGTCTGGTACAATAAAACACACTAAAACCATTTTCCATGCATGTCTAATCAGTATAGGACACAGAAGTAATTAAAAAGAAAACTGCTCCAAAAAACTTAACCTTAACCTGGGACGCCGACGCCGACGCCGAGGGTATCACATAAGCTCCCCCCAACTTCGTTGAGGTGAGCTAAAAAGCACTGTAAAAAAGATTGTTATCTGGACTTAAAATTATAATACATGTAAAAGCACTAACTGAAGTTATCTCTCACACACAAGTACATGTAGAAGAATTACACGCTTAGTGTGGACTTTCAGTAAGGCGTGGCATTCTCGACGTTACCTAATTAGCTTCTGAAATTTACACAGCTTCCCTTCACTGTTGAAATATACATATGATAGAAGTGCGGCCGAATGTCAACTGATGTAGTAAATAGCCAATTAAAAGTTCTCTCACGGCACAGAGGTGGGGCATAAGTCGTCTGATCGTTATCAACAACAATTTTAAGTTCCTATGTTATTAATTTCGTAACCAATGAGAATCTACTAGTATTCTCCATTACGTAGCGCCGAGAAAGTCACGCCTACTGAAAGTCCAAAGATAGGGTAAAATACTCCTATCTATACTAGTCAAGTTACTGCATAGTCAAAATTAAGAACATATTAAAGATCGAAGAATAAATATAATGTAAGGCCATTCCAAGTTTTTTCTATGTTTAGCATCCACGTGCACCTTGGTTTTTGACACCCCATGTCAGAAAAAACAAAACAGAATCAAGAGTCTGAAAATTAATTATTCAGGTCAAAATTTGTGATTTCCGGCAATATTTCTAAATATTTGTATAATATTTCATTTTTGGAATAGTTCCAGTATTTAATACCTTGATTTTGCTGAAGAAAATAACTTTCTTTATGAAAAATAGATAAATGACATCATATGTTTTGAATAACGTCATTCTCATTAGTATAAAATATGTGTTTCATTTTTTTTGACTTATGTGTTTTTTGCGAACAGGTAGCTAGGTTTTTGAAAGATGCTTGGAATGGCCTAATTGATTATCTAATTATTTTTGAGAGGTTCAAGAAAGAAATACAAAAGTGAACTTAAAATCTGAATAAAATAAGAGTGGGGGATATCTGCAATTTAAAGTCTATCTTCATATTAAATTCTTTCTCGACTCTTCCACTGTGAAATCATTAGATTTTGTGATTGCTACAATTTTTGTGGAATTCATGGGAACCTCTGATCCACTAGGCAAAGCTAATTAATATCTTCCATAAATTTTTTATAAATTAGGGATATAAAGTCATATTTTCTTTTGTAAGTATTGGAGAAGCCACAAAAAGCGATATATGGTAAGTGTCTCAACTGGCCCCTTAAAATGAATATCTTAATTTTATTTTATATATAGCTTTAATTTGTACAGCTATATATGCGACCTTTATGGGTCATTTTCATTTTGACCAAAATACCGTTATTTTAGAAATATGACATCATAAAAATCACGTTTTCCCGCCATTTTAGCATATCTTGTATAAAACTGCTTATTTTCAAGCAGCTTTTCTTCCAGAAAATATAAAGCGCAGCCTAGAACATGCTTTATATTTTTACCAAAGATGAATCTATCCAATACTAATTAGTGACAGAAAAATTATGTACTGTATACAGGGAAATTTTCGCTCCCGTTTTATTTTCGCCCCTTTCGCCCTCTTGTTGATTGGGCGAATTTAAAACGGGGCGAACTCAAATTACAAAGCATAAGTTCTTAAACAGAACTATGACTGAGCGAATTTAAAACGGGGCTAAATTGTCCGCAAGTGCAAAAGGGCGAAAATAACACAGGGCGAAAATAACCCTGTATACAGTATGTTCTACACTGCGCTCTATGTTTCCTGTATGAAAAAAAACATCAAGAAAAAGGCATATTTTTGGTTTTTTTGTTAGATAGCAAAAATAGCATCATTTCTCATGTCATTTACAGCTAGAGAATGCATATAAATGTGAAAAATAAATTAGAAATATTTCTAACATAATCTCTTCTTCAAAATAAATATCAACAAGCTAATTCAGAGAATTCGTGTCCCCCGCTTAGGGAAAAAGTCGAGAGAATTTGTAGAATTATTAAATGTATACATGTATACTGAAGGAAATAAAATACATGTATGTCAATATGCATATAAAGATTTGATTGCTTATTCTTTATTATGTGTATAGAAGATTTTTTCATATGGAATGTTTATCACACTGTAATGATGATTTTATAACCTCATAAATTTTTCATTTCACATGCTGAATACTATCATTTAGTAAAAAAAAAGTATTTAAAAAAAAAAAAGAAAGAAAGGTCCGACCGAGGTTCGATCCCACGACCTCTCACACTTGAAGCGAGAGACATAACCACTAGACCACGGAATCGCTTTAAGTGGTGTTAAGTATATGCAGAACTGAAGTCACATACATGTATATATTCATGTTTTCATGTTCGGTATTCTCAAAATTTTACACAATCCATGGTGTTTGATTTATTTAGCCTTTATTAAACAGTTTTAATAGATGTAATAAGAACATAAAGTCCGCCGAGAACCTGTTTTATACGCAATAACTCTCCTCATGCCCCTGCGCTAAAAATAGCAACATGTAATACTATAAATACTAATAAAACAAACGGGGCGGGGCACTTTGAGAGGGGCGAGAGACGTCCTAGGGAGTTTTGGTATAAAATTACATTGCATCAGCTCAAAATCTTCTTGAAATATCGCCCGGAAATGATAGTGTTACACACAGACAGAATGTATAAATTTACGACCTTGAACTTTGACCTTTTGACCTCAAAATCAATAGGGGTCTTCTTTAGGCCACAGGGAGTTGTTATGTAAAATTTCATTGCAATAGCTCAAATGGTTCTAGAGATATCGTGTGGAAACGAAAGTGTTTTAACAGACAGAATTTGCTTATTTATGACCTTGACCTTTGACCTTTTGACCTCAAAATCAATAGGGGTCTTCTTTAGTCCATAGGGAGTTGCTATGCTAAATTTCATTGCAAAAGCTCAAAGGGTTCTCGAGATATCGTGTGGAAACGAAAGCGTTACAGACAGACAGAAAGACGGACGGACGGACGGACGGACAGACGGACGGACGGACAAACCCAAATTAATATCCCCCACTTTTCAAGCGGGGGACAATTAAACATATCTGAATGTCATCCTAAAATGTTGATTTTTAGGGGGCCAGAATTGACTCTTATCGTATATGCTCCTTTACGTCCCCATGAACCTGTAAAATTTAAGCATTTAATCCACAAAAACTGCCCCCCCACAAATTTCAATGAATCACAGTACATGTATAATAAAACACAGCTGCAATGAAAACCCATGGGACTATTGGATATATATAATTTATGCATAATTTTTTACTAATATTGACCTGTTGGAAAAATGACAACATATACTAGTATAATCTGGAATTCATTGTAGCTGTCTTTCTTATGAGAGTGTTTGAACTATTATTTAAAAAGAAGTACTTAATACACCAACATATATTTGCAATTTTTTTTGGGGGGGGGAGGGGAGGATTTAAATGAAGTAGCTCAGTTGAGTTCAAAAGAAAATTTCATGAATATGCAGTGATAAATATTCTCCATCAAATCACCAGTAAATTTTGAAAAAAAAAAGTTAACATGAAAAATTAAACAAATAAAAGTTGGTGCATGGTTTTTAATATATACCTACCAATATGCAACAATCTGTACTTCTTTATATTTGACTACAATGACAGAGTGTTGTTTATAGAAATTGTATTCATAAATTTTTTCTGCTATGAAGCCCTGATAATATAACCAAGTCCTCAATTCTACTCATAACTTACAAATCAATGCTAACAAATAATTATAAAACTCAGTCAATTCATTTCATTTGAGTCAATTAAAAATTTCTTGTCAAATTTGGGCAACGAATGAAATATGGAGTTATCTCTCAACAATATAGCAGAATAAGCTGATGGTTATCTGTAAATAACTTGACGTTTAGGCTTAGACTTAAGCTTTCTTTGATTATGAACATTTTCTATCCCAAAAGTAAAGATATGTCAATAAACCAACTTTTATTAGCATGATTATCATGGGAGAAATATCCACAAGTTTTGCAACATACATTCATTCGCAAATAATAATTCGAGCAAACCATTTTTTTTTTGTTTTGAATGGTATGTTTCCTTGTTTACAAAAATTAATAGTCAGAGATTGATTTCAAACTGATGAATTGCGAATAAAAGATGATATGAATAATAGTTGGTTTACAGTACTATGGAAGATGATAAAATATGAGACCCCTGGGCTACATTATACCTGAGCACTAGAGAAGCAGAGTACTAATAGGGCCATATTATGATACAAAGACATGAGCCCTTACATAGGGCATGAGCATTTATCAAGACATACAGAACAAAAGCACTTATTGGGACATATAGGAAATAAGCCTTTATTAGGACATAAGAACATGTGCACTTGTTGGAACAGAAAGGACACAAGCACTTATTAAGACACAACTGTTTCTTTTTGTTTTTCATTATCAAGTTCATAATAAAATGTTCTAAAAGAATTCAATACTTGATTACTGCTGCATGTTACGGGTAAACTAATGAGAGGTATTGATTTGATCTGTTTGTTATTATTTCTCCTCTCAGTTCACAATCATTAACCTATCTGTCTAAACATGTCCCTATTCTACTCTACTTGCACTCGCTTGGTCGAGTTTTCATCAACTCCGAGTACACAATCTGCACTAATGTGTACTGAGCCTGCACTGAGCTGGACTTAAGTGCACTAATGATTTCTATTTGACCGAGATAAACATAAAAGTCTGAAAGTAGAGCAGCAGCTGAGATAATGGGGAGTGTTTTTTATCGATTGATTCGATTCATTATTACATAGAATACACAAAGATAGATTGATTGATTATTACATAGAATGCACAAAAAGTTATTGATTGATTATTACATAGAATACTCAAGGAGAGATTGATTCAATATTACAAAGACTATACAACTTAAGAAAGGCTATTTACTAAAGACTGTTCTTAACCTATTTAAGCCACAATTTGAGGCTGTCTAAACATTTACTAGCTAGTATTTCTAGTATTAGTATCTTATTGATTATCAGTGGAGTGGTACTTCATTGGAATAATTAATTATTTTAAAGAAAAAAATTATAACAAGTATAGCATGTACAGTATTAATGTATGCTTCCCATTAAAGGCCTATGGGCCACAGAGCTGGAATCTAATGCTTGCCCAGAAAAACACAGATTACAGAGCTGACCTCAAACAATGTTGTCCAGAGTTTTTCTTTAATTAATAAAATGATAATTCCTTGCCATATCTTGACCAACTTGCTTGGATAGAGTAAAGCAAAGTCCCACACCAAACAAATGATGTAGTGGTGTACATCCAAAGATGCAATATTTATGAATTTTGATCTGAGGGAGCTTGCAGTTACTTGGTAATGAACTTCACTAGAAAAGTCACTAAGGCCATAATAAATAAATTGCTAGATTCTCATTCGAATTTTTTTAAAAATCGAGGCGGGCGGACGGCTTTTATTATATATATTTTATTTTTTCAATTTTGCAGATTTTTTATTGACCTGGCCAATCGGTGTAATGTTATCTACAAGGGGAGCCAGTCAAAGCGTCCCCTGATTTTAGTCAAAGCGCCCCCTGACATATTTTTATAGAAAAAAATACCGCCCCCAAATATTGGTCAAAGTGTCCCCTGATTTTGGTCAAAACGCCCCCTAACATATTTTTATAGAAAAATACCGCCCCAAATATTGGTCAAAGTGCCCCTTTAGTTAACATATTCTTATAGAAAAAATATCTTAATTTATATAAACAAATCTTTACTGTCCCCAAGAAATGGTCAAAGCGTCCCCTGATTTTTGGTCAAAGCGCCCCCTTATAGAATTTTTTCAGGTAACAGTACTGCCAAACAATGATAATATTAAATTTTAAAAATACCAAACAGTTTTATTCCGTAACATGTTTGTAAAAATATATATTAGGGGGCGCCTTGACTAAAATCAGGGGACGCTTCATACAAGAATCGGGGATGTTTTGACCATTGCTTGGGGACGGTTCCCAGACGATTTTTTCTAAGAAAAAAATGTAAGGGGGCACTTTGACTAGAATCAGGGGATGCTTTGACCAATATTTGGGGGTGTTTTTGTAACATCATTTTACTGTAAAATTCTATATGGGGCGCTTTGACCAAAATCAGGGGGCATTTTGACCAAAATCAGGGGACGCTTTGACCAGGACAGTTATTAGGGGACGCCTTGACTGGATTTCCTCTACAATACCCGAATAAAAGTCATATAGTAAAGGTTCATTTATCTCTTACTTCACATCATCACCAATCTTTTTCAACCAATGACCCTTGTTTAAAATATATACGCATGTATTACAGCTATTTTCAGCTGTCAAAATCATGTCGACTTGCGCGGGATTTAAAACGAAAGTAGAATGGTAGATGAATACCGATCCCAATCAGAATTAAGACAAAGAAAAACAGAAATAAAAAAAATCGAGGCGGGGGTATATAATTGGGGCGGGCGGGGATGAGAATCTATTCTAGGAATATTCTTATTATGGCCTAATCAAGAAAATGTCATTCTAATCCTGTATCTGAAGCAAGTTTGAGAATGTTCATCCCTTATTGTATCATCCATGCAAGTTTGGTTCAGATAGGCTAATATCAGTGTCTTCAAAACTTTGAAATGAACCTCATTTTCCTGCACCTGAAAAACATTAATATGGCCACTCATCTAGAAAATGTCGAATCCAGCATCCAAAGTAAGCCTCGAAGTGTGCATTCTAGGATGTATCATACATGCAAGTTTGTTTTACATAGGGCTTATATTTCTGAATGAACCTGATTTAAAAACTTAAACTTAATGCTCTAAAAACTTTTATATGCTCCAAAAACATGAGCTTGAAAATATTTAACTGAAATTACAGCACCAAGACAGCCTACTTTGTTTTATTGGGATTTCAATAACTTTGTTTAAAGTCAGCTAAGTGAGCATTTTGTCAAATTCTATGGTCATTATAATGACCTTGTTAACCAATTAATTTATATCATATCATTGGGTCCTATTTTGGCTGACCTTTTATATACCAATAGTTTGGCCTTTCTTTTGATATTAAAATTGACTACTATGTTCCATAAATCTGTTCAATACATATACACAGAGTGGGAGTGACTGGTCAACAGAGAATGCTTACTCCTCCCAGTCACCTGATCCCACCTCTGAAACTTCAGGATCCACAGTTTGTGTGTTGGGGTATGTGTACTTTTATAATAATATTTAACTTCTGTATATAAGAAAACCTTTTTTTTTTTTAAAAAGGCACTACAAAAAAGGAACTTCCAGTGTTTGATTTTATGCCCTATTCAGAGATTTGCATTTTTTATGAATTTCTGGAGATTGATCCATGTTCGTTATCTTGAATTCTTCATCTTTTTTCATTGTTAGATGACTTTGATTTGAATCTCTCACTAAGGGGAGGTATGGCCAACTTAGTTCCCTTTACCCAAATATGCTTTCTGGCAAATTGGTACGACTCTGGCTCATGTGAGCTGACTAAATTTAGTCTAGGTAAATGAGTCTTATTTTAAAGCATTGGGTTGCCAAAATAAAAAAATATATATTACGGAATAGCTAAAAAATCAATCTATTCAGATGTCACATTCAACAGTAGTGGAAGTGAAATTATTATGAAAACATTATCTTTTCTCTGCAAAAAGATAGCATTTTCGGAACCCATGGATTTTCTCTCCATTACACTACATTCAACGTAGTGAAACAGAAAACCTGTGGGTTCCGATGATGAAAAGATAGGACCCTATGACAAACTGACAGACAGTGCTTTTTTAGAGAATGGCTTGCCTTTGAGGAACATTATTAAGGATACATTAAGTGCTTCACAACTGTATTCATAACTATAATTATAACATGACCAAATATCACTGAATTATATATCTCATACCAGTATTAAACCACTGAAGTATCTAACTTCATACTACTATGAACTAAATACTTACAAATCAAAAGCACTTGCTTTCACATTAGGATATTTCTGAAATAAGAGGAAAAAAAATGTAAGGATTTTAAAAACAAAACTAAGTTTCAAAGCTCACTTCAATGAATAAACTATATAAACCCCAAATATCAAAGAGTAATGCACAGATGCTATTGGATTTTTTTTGGATTAAAATCTGTTTCTAAATTTACTTTCATTGGAAATATATTGTATACAAAGCATAACAAATTTGATTTATTCAAAGCAATACTTAATAATTAATACAATTAAATCTTTTAACCCATAAATTTTTTTTTTATTTGGTTCTCTGTGTACAATATTAGCCCTTTCACAATAACTGTGGTACTACTCTTTTGCAAGGCAAATTAATAACGTTTGATGTTACGTTCAAGATAGGTATAATCTGAAGGTGTTTTAAAGGGAGAAATTGTCTAGTTTTTCTAAACTTAAAAGATTTGAAAATTATATTATAAAGGAATAATTTAATTCTGGTTGTAACGCTGTATTTGATTGGATAAAAAATTTATTTTATATCGTATAAAATGGGTTGCCTACGTCACAATGACGCGCGTCAAAAACGTATCAATCCGCCTGACGTTACATTCAAATTTTTTACAAACTGAAGTCATTTTGTTGGAACAATCATCTTTTTTTCTTACATCAAATGAAAGAAAATTAAATTATAAGGAATGAATTTAATAGCTACCCATTTTATATGGTATAAACTGGGTTGGAACAGTTTATGCTTTTTTATAAACCGCAAAGCGGTT